GCCCAGGTGGTGGTGTGGTCTAGCAGGCCGGTTACAGTGCAGGCAATTTGGTGTCATGATATCTCAGTAGCATGGGTTTGAATCCTGGCTAGGGAAGAACAAAAAATTTGCGAAAGCAAATTTACATATCTAACATTGTTGGGTTGATGTTTAGACGAGTTGTATATATATATATATATATTGATTTAAAGAAAGACAAGAATTATAGTTCAAAGTGTCAGCATTGTTTATTTTCATTGTTTATATGTAAACTGTTTATCATGTATAATGTTTTAAGACATTGGCCAATATGGGTGTAAATGAGTGCTTTTCAATACAGTTTGAAGTTTAAAGTTAATTTTTAATTTTTTTAATTCTTCCTATATCTTCAGACTTTCTTCTTTCTTCTTCGGCTTTAGAGAAGTCAGACACTATCCTCTGTACTTGGGCCTCTTTATGTTCCAGTTCCCTATAAATTTCTGCTGTGTTCAGAAACAGTCTTTGAAACTCTTCTTCCCTAGACATCAGCTGGAAATACAAAAGATAGGTTTAGCTAAACAGTCATTTAAGAATAAATGGGTAAAAATATGGATGAGATATTTTGTATAAAGCGATCTGCTACAGTCCCTTCATGACGACAAGTGATAAGAAAAGCTCAATTGGCCCTTCCGGTTGGTGAGCTAAAAAAAAATTACAGCTTATCTCAAAACAATCATCATTTCTTAATACATAATTTTCAATCATTGTAAGGGAGGTAATCAAACATATCTATAACAGTATTCTTTCAATGGAATTGGAGAACCTCCCTTACATTGCTTTTAAATTGTCTAAATTGTCCTTTAACCAGAAAAACCCTTGTTTTCCTACCTTTTATGTCCCTATTGGCTAAATAATTTGAGCCATAACCCCCATAACCATCTCTTTGTAGTATGGACACTTGTGGTATAATATCAGAGAGTCATTTATACACTTAAACACAAGTTATTGACTGGAAACTACAAAAATGCTTATTTGGGCCCTTTTTTTGGCCCCCAACTTATCGAAACCCCCATTGGAGCAAGAACTCAAAACTCAATTCCAGCCTTTCCTTTGTAGTAAGAAACCTTGTAGTATAACTTCAGAGAGATCCATACACTGAAACACAAGTTCTGGTCTGTAAACTAGAATAAACTGTTATCACAGAGATATGTCTCGCCTTTTTGTAATTTTGATTATGCAAATGTTGAAATCAAAATAGCAATACTTTAACATCTTACACAAGTTATGAAAATATTCAAAGTCAATGAACCATGACTGAGTTACATGGCTAAACAATCTCCATGTAAATGAGATGTGCCAATGCTTATACAACTGCATACCAAATACCATCATGACCATTGACTTATCATAAGTTGTTCCCAAATCTAAATACAAACATTAACTAGTAAACTATAGAAAAGTTTCAAAGTCAATAAGAGGGGGTGGGGCTATATAATCTCCATGGAAACGATACATGCAAATGCCAATAAATTTGCATACCAAATATCATTGACTTAACATTAGCATTTCATCTTAAACTGATCTAATCACAAACTAATACATGTAAACTAAGATAAGTTTCAAAGTCATTAGACTGTGACTGAGGGGTGAGGCCAAATATTCTCCATGGAAATGAGATGTGTCAATGCTTATACAACTGAATACCAATTAACATTGGCCTACCACTAATGGTTCCCCTTGAATTGACCTAATCACAAACTAAAACATGATAACTCAGAAAAATTTTCAACGTCAATAGACCATGACTAAGGGGGTGGAGCCAAATCATCTCCATGGAAATGAGATATGCCGATGCTTACACAACTACATACCAAATATCATTGATCTTCCACTTGTGGTTCCCCATAAACTGACCTAATCACAAACTAATACATGTAAAATAAGCAAAAGTTTCAAAGTCAATAGACCATGACTAAGGGGGTGGAGCTAAATTATCTGCATGGAAATGAGGTATGCCGATGCTTACACAACTGCATACCAAATATCATTGACCTACCACTTGTGGTTCCCCATAAACTGACCTAATCACAAACTAATACATGTAAAATAAGCAAAAGTTTCGAAGTCAATAGACCATGACTGAGGGAGCAGGGCCATATAATCTCCATGGAAATAAGATGTGCCAATGCTTATACAACTGCATACTAAATATGATTGACCTACCACTTGTGGTTCACCATAAACTAGACCTAATCGCAAACTAATACATTGTTGACGCCCAGCCGTCGCCGCCGGAAACAGCATACCTATGTCTCGCTTTTTGACTCCGTCAAGGCGAGACAAAAATGCTTCTTTTTGGCCCCTTATTCCTACATGTTCAGGGAAATTAATCCCAAACTCAATCCAAGCCTTCCCATTGTTATATGAAACCTTGTGGTACAATGTCAGAGAGATCCATACAGTTACACACACAAGTTATTGTTAACATTGTGATGTACTAGATGTTGAGTTTCATTTCTTTTTTAAATGTAAAATAAATGAACAATTAAGAAAAGAATTTTTAAATGAAAATAAATATAACTTAAAATGATATAGATAAATTAAAACATATTTTCAATCCTGAAACAAAATATAAATGAACACATACAGATCTGTATGGTGTTATTTTGGATTTAGTTTGCGTGCGTTATAAACTTTTTATAACTGAGTTTATTGCCTACTGTTACCGGGTATATTTCCCATATAGCTATATAAATTCGTAAGAGCCTTCTAATATTTATTCTGTAAATATATTTACAATGATAGTTACAAATAGTATAAATATACTATTAAACAGGTTGGGAACAACCCCTCAAATGAGGGATAACCCCTAAATGTAATGACTATCCCTTTTATGAGGGGTAGAATTCAAGTGATAAAAATATATTTTTACAAAAACCACTTCTAATTACAAAAGGGCACATGTTTATATTATTTGCAGAAACTTAACCAAGAGAACAATATGTCTATCTGGTATTATCTTGGCAAAACATGTCCATGAATTTTGTAATATTCATGGACTTCAATCTTCTTTATTTTTGAAAATAAGAAGACCCCACTTTTAGAATAGTTGTTCCAAATATAATGAATTTTCTCCCTTTTCAGTTAAAAAAGCTGATTTTTTTTTTTTTTTCCTTTCTACAACAGCAAAATAACCCCTTGTCCGAGGGACAGACCATCATTTAAGGGATATCCCTCGTTTGGGGGGTTGTTCCCAACCTGTTAAACAAAAGTATTCAAAGAATATTATTATTGAAAATATTAGAACCAAACCTTAAAACTAAGAAATAGAAAAGACAAACCTATAAATATATAGCTAATGGCGAAACCCATCCACACGTTCCAACGCCTGAATACAGGAATACAGGTATAAAAAGATATTACAGGTAAGAAGGGATTTTATTGCAGTAACTAGAAAGCATGCAGGTAAAAAGGTGTGCTTGATTTGAATTTGTCATTCGTCAAGCGTTGGTGTGATATGATAATGAATATATACATGTATAACATAGAAAAACATGAATAAAAATAATAAACACTACCGTCTGTACAACCATGTCTACAAAGATAAGGGAAAAAGACGACTACAGTGTTTCACTCGGGAGGGGGGGGGGGATATTTCAGAGGACAGACATTTTTTTCATATGAATTTTCACTCGTCAGTATTATTTATCAATGTTTTGATTTTCTTAACATATTTAAAGTTATTATTTGGAAGAAGATCACTTGTATATAGTAATCTATCATTTTTTAAACGAACGTATCAAGTATTGACCTCTCGAGATAATGCTGACATACAAATGCTAAAAGTTGCCTTGAAAGGCTATAGAATTGTACATCTGACCTTTTTAAAGTCATTTTACAGTTTATTTACAGTTTACATGGTATCACTCCTGACTATACATGCTATTTAAATTTTCTTAAAAAAGCACACACAAAAAAGTTTTCATTATTGCAACCAATTAACCAACATCACTATTACAATGCCGCAAACAAATTTGGTATTAGACGACAGGCAATAAACACATTACAGTGCATGCTTGAGAAAGAAAGTTTATATATATGCATTCTTTAAATCCGACAATTTTTTAAGTTCAGATTTTAAAATCGATAGTGATTCTTTTTTTCGTATTGATAAATCTATTGTCTTTGCTTTGTATATGAGTGATACCTAACATCCACGCATTCCAACATCTATCTAAATCCCGAATGCAAACATTCTTCAAAAATCTTATTCGGAAGATTCCATATACCGTGATAGTGTTTAATTGTTATTATATTACAATATAATGATAAAAAAGATACTAGTATTACTAGACTTGTAATAGCTTACACCAATTCTACATAATTTAGTGTTTCGGCGGTTTTTGTATCATATACTCGAGATAAATGTATTACATTTATATATGAATGGGTTTAAGCATTGTAAGTCCGCCATCATCAGGTATTCACCTATAATATCATTTCAATTTTGTCGACGTTAATAAATCGGCTATATTTTTATGCTTTTTATAAGCTATTATTGGTTTGACCGAAAATATTTCTTTGCAAACCTGATCATGCTTGAGTAGATCCCAATGTTCAACGCAACGAGAAAATCCCGCACAATTTAATGCTTTCGAAACATATATTTAAGTACATTATTAATTATTTATTCAATTATTATTATGAGCGACATATTATTAAATCACAGTCAAGTGAAAAATCTGATTGTAAATGAAATCTGGGACTATAATAGTCCCAGATGAGATTGATTAAAATCATGAATTAACATGTAAAATGTCAGACAATATTGAAAGTTAAAAAAAGAAGGATTTAAATGTTTCCATAATCTTCTTTTTTGTTAGCAAATGTTGAAAATTTGAACAGCGATTTTATTAATCTAATGGAAAAAACCTGAAACAATATTTCATATTTTTTTTATGCGGATAATCGATCGGTTCTGCATCAAACAGATTAATGCCACGTGGGTTTGTTTAGGTTTTTAGTATCAACTTCCGCTTATGAATATTCATGTTATTAAAATATGGTGGCTGCCAATGTTTTGGTGATATTGCTGGCAGTCGTTCGCTGTCTACATCTCTCTGATGGGTCCTCGCACTGGGTTGTCACTGAAAATGGAAGAATTCAGGCTCAGGTAATTCAAAATATCGACGAGCCATCTTTCAGCTTACTCCGATCAGTCGCAGACATCCAAAACAAACACGAAACTTGGACATTGCACTTCATGCACTTAGCTTAAACATTGAAGCTTGTGTTTGAATTAACCTTACATCTTTTTGTAATAAAGTGTAATTGATGAGTTTAGAAAATGTGTACACTGCTGACCATTCTATTCACCCTACGGCTACGCTAAAATTAACTTGGTTGAAGTCTTTTATTTGCATTTAGGGAACAGTCATTATTTATCAGCTGAGGGGGTCGGTTCATTTTAGGGGGGTCACTACCAAACATATCATACTGCTGGGGGGGGGGGGGGGGGGGGGGGTTGCCATCAAAAATTTTATTTGACTGGGGGGGTCACACAATGAAAGTTTTTATGTCTGACAAGCATATAAATTGTTGACGATATTGAAGTGAGTGTGCAATCTTTTAAATAAATTCTGTCATTATTAAATCTTTGGTCATGTACAGTGAGCACTAGAAGGATGCCTAATTTCTCAAGGATAGTGAATCTGATCACTCCTCTGTTATGGTTCATTGTCTCATGGAACTATTATATTCAATATGATAGTTCCATGATTATCCATAGGACAAGTAGGATGTGAAAGTTTACAATCCGACTTATCTCAAGATTAACAACTGTATAAAATATTTGTCTCTAGTTTTGACCACAGCCTGGCACAGGAAACAATGAGTTTTAAAAGTTTCTGAACATGTGTATTACAACTTTCTGAAGTGTACATTTTTGTACATATTTGATCCAGGAAGGACTAGAACCATACAATTAGTAATATTTGTAATGTGTTATTTTCAGTTGCACTTCCAAGTTCCAAGAGTGGGATTGAAATTATAGAAAAATAACTATATGATGAGAAAATTAAAATCCAAAAAACATTTACAAAACTTCAAAATTTTAATAAAGACATTAAAAGAATTGAGCCATGTTTTCTCTTTTTTTTTAATGTTTTTTCATTCACAAATAATTCTGTGTCAGACAGTAAATTTACATTTATTCATAACAGAGGGAAATTCATTATTGAAAGGTTATATATAATATTGTAGAATTATAGGTTTCATTCAAATAAATTGGAACAAAACGGAATTTTCTGTTTTTTGTTTTCTTTTTACGTCATTCCATTCATTTATAATAGCACATGCTCATGTATATAAACAAATTTGGCTAATTGTGCCTTTAAAAGCTTAACTTATTACGAATTAGCAGTTTCAAAATCAGGGACAATCTGTATTAAGGTATGACTTCATTCTGTTCATAAACATGATAAAGGTTCAAGAAAAAAAGCAATATATATTTGTTTTCATTTAAATGCTTTTTTTGTCCATTTTTCTTCTTGAATGTTTCAGCTATTCATATTCGAAAGAAAGAAAAAAAAAACAAGAAGAAAAACTCTATTGTATTCTCAGGGTTTTCTCAAAGAAGAATACAACTGAAAAATGTTTTCTAAAATCAGTTGCATCAGCTTCAAAATAAAGAATATGGAAGGTCATGATGAAACATCAAGGCAATATAAGGTAGCACTCCACAGTTAGGTGTGTAGTTTCGCATTTTGGCCCCTGTGGATTTTTCAAATATGATAGCTAGTGTAGAATAAAATTCATTTTTGGATAGCTGAAGATTAAAATAGCCTTCATAGTGGGTTTATAGGAACATCAAGATTATGTAATGTATGTAATATGGGCTGATTTCTGTATGACAGTCCGTATTTTCATATCCATACCAAATATTGGTCCGGCAATTATTGTAATGTTTTTTTCCGACTTTTTGTCGCACGAACTTTGCAATTAAATTTTATGAAAAAATGAGGCGAAAGACACCCATTTTTTATTTGATCATTTGGTAGATTTATATCAACAGTTTCTGAAAAGGTATCACTGAAAGGCATTGAAATTCTAGTTTGAACCAAATTTTGGGGGAATATGTGACATTTTTGCCCCCCTTTTTGCAATATTTTATGGTAAATAAATGCAGAATGTTGCCATGGATACATAAAAAAGGAATTATTTTTCACCATTTTAACTTTTAAAAATCAAATCTATGGAAGATACTGATAACATACATATGCACATGTATAACACAAACAGTTAGGTTAATGTATTAGAAAGCCAGGAATAGAAGATGATAAAACATTTTGTGGTTCAATTTTAATGTTTTTTTCTAACTGTGGAGTGCTACCTTATGGCACATCAGAAAGCACAGAAATGCACTTTTTAAGATAAATTTAACCACAAATCTTTAGTCTGTTAGGTTCTTAATGTAGTTCTGAAGGGAAAAAAGTTGCTAGGATTGCAATACATGTTAATTTTATTGTTTACTGTCCTTAGCAACCAAATATACACATTTTGACACTAAGACATGTTTCTGTCTTAAATTTGTACTCCATTAGCTTCGCCCTTGTAACCAAAGATTGCGCTTTATATGATAGCCTCAGAATATATCGCTTTATATTTTTTATTGCGAATAAGTCAAATAGACATTTTTAGCAGGATTTTATATAATAATTTGGCATGAATGAAATTTAATGATGCCAGTACTGTTAGATATTTATACCCTGCTTGAGAGTTTCTAAAACAAGGTTTGGCATGCTATTTACAGCAAAATTGACCTATAAATGCTTTCAAATACCCAAAAATTGTACAATTTTTCTTCTTTAAAGGTTATTTTATGATTTTAAACAGAAAAAAGGGAAAAGTTTTAGAAATTTACCCCAAAAATGTGACAGGCTTGAGGTTTTACACTTTGATCAGGCATTTTTTTTTAAATGACTTTTTGTCCCGTTTAACATCAAATGCTAACCTTCATAAAATCTTTATTACTGAACCAATTTTAAAAACTATGGTACCATTTTAATCGTTACAGCTAGTACAACACAGGAAATGAATTTGAATTTGAGGCAGGGAAAAAAAATTTGATATTAAGGTAGCACTCCACAGTTAGGTGTGTAGTTTCGCATTTTGGCCCCTGTGGATTTTTCAAATATGATAGCTAGTGTAGAATAAAATTCATTTTTGGATAGCTGAAGATTAAAATAGCCTTCATAGTGGGTTTATAGGAACATCAAGATTATGTAATGTATGTAATATGGGCTGATTTCTGTATGACAGTCCGTATTTTCATATCCATACCAAATATTGGTCCGGCAATTATTGTAATGTTTTTTTCCGACTTTTTGTCGCACGAACTTTGCAATTAAATTTTATGAAAAAATGAGGCGAAAGACACCCATTTTTTATTTGATCATTTGGTAGATTTATATCAACAGTTTCTGAAAAGGTATCACTGAAAGGCATTGAAATTCTAGTTTGAACCAAATTTTGGGGGAATATGTGACATTTTTGCCCCCCTTTTTGCAATATTTTATGGTAAATAAATGCAGAATGTTGCCATGGATACACAAAAAAGGAATTATTTTTCACCATTTTAACTTTTAAAAATCAAATCTATGGAAGATACTGATAACATACATATGCACATGTATAACACAAACAGTTAGGTTAATGTATTAGAAAGCCAGGAATAGAAGATGATAAAACATTTTGTGGTTCAATTTTAATGTTTTTTTCTAACTGTGGAGTGCTACCTAATATTTACAGAATATCACTTACTAATGACTGCTAACCAGACAAAGTAAATTATCTTTATCAAATTAATTAGTTCAAGCTACTTATACATGTTATATAAAATAACAGAACTATAGTGTAGAATGTATTATGAAATATCAGTTCAAAATCAAAAGAAAATGAGTACTGCAATCAAGGAAAACCCCTTTATGCCATATTCTGTTACGGATAGTGTCCATGTCCTCATACTTCTCATAGCTATTTTTAAAGTCAATGCCTGCAACTTTTTACATTGTAGCTTGCAGTCATCATCTTCTCTTAACTGTTAATTGATAGAGATTTTTGTTTGGTGGGAGGGGGGGGTCAAACTTTTGAAACTATGTTCTCAGGGGGGGGGGGGGGAGGGGTCATTATGTGGTTCATAAGAATCATGGGGGGGTTGCCAACAAAACCTTTTAATGTGAAAAAATTGAACCGACCCCCTCAGCTGATAAATAATGACCATTCCCTTACATGTATGGTACATCCAGTCAGGGGTACTACTTGAACAAGTAATCTTTATTTACTTGAAGAAGTAAATAAAATATACTTATATAAGTTAATTATAATGTTTGAATAATGTCCCCTTAATTTCCTCAAAAATTTACTTGTATAAGTAAATTTTTTTTACAATCCCACAAAAATGCTCAAGTTTTGAGATGTAAAAACATGCCTTTAACAATTTTTCTCAGGTTAGCTCATAATTTTTTATTAGAGTTCAATGTTTCATCTCATTAATTCAACAAAGAAACTGATTGCGCAAAGATCTAAAGTATTTGCGCAAGGCCTTCAAAGATTGAGCCTTGAGATTTTTATTGTCCATGAAATTACACTTAAATGATTAGTAAAGACATCTGCAAAGGACAGACAAATAAAAATTCTATTAGAGCAAAGAAGTCCTAAGAATTCAAGAAAAGAAGATAGGATGACTTTTTTACTTGTATAAGTTAAAAAATCTGAATGTCTAAGGGACATAACTAAGCCCAATTTTTTTTTACCTATACAAGTAAATAAAATACACTTGTATAAGTATCCTACAAATTTACTTATATAAGTATATAAATATTTACTTCTTCAAGTAAATAAAAATTACTTGTACAAGTAGTACCCCTGACTGACATCACTACATGCAGTTCAAAGTGGGTCTCATTGGGGTCTAAGCGTGACGTGGGATTGCCGATTTTTTGTAAGCATGACACATGAAAGTCAAATTATTGTGCCCTGAAAATGGGAAATGAAGTCAAGCGGGAATATGGGAAATTACAAAAAAAAGAGAATTGCTTACGTACATACATGTAGTGTAAGCGGGATACAGGAATCTAACAAAACAGTAAGCGGGATCTGGGATCAGAACCCCCCCAATGAGACCCCCATCAAAAGATACAGATTTCTAGGGGGATTTTGAGGTCAGAGCTCTCTTTCTGAATATGTAGTTAAGGGATTAAGTTCATTCCCCGAACAAAGTGTAAAATAAATGGGTATAGCAAATAGTTGTGAAATACATGTATACACTCAGTAAAAAAGGGCCACAGGAACATCACTGTCTAAAAAGGGAAAATTAGCAATAGGGAACAAAAAATCATCTCTCTTGTCATCATGGTCATAGAGTTTCCTGTGTAAGATTGAATAATCAAATCTATTAAAGGACAATTTTTGCTATCTGTATAAGTTTTATTTAAAGTAAGTTTACTTTGATAAATTTCTGCAGTAATATTAGAAATTTTTTATTATTAAAAGCAAAAATATCATCCTGAGGATATCACTAGCCCAGTACTAGGCAGTAGTACAATGCAAGTGGTTAACACTTTTGTGTTGACATGAATTATTATTGATATGGTCATAATTCTAAATTAACTATTTACAAAACTTTGAATTCATTTAAAATACTAAGGATTTTCTTCTTCAGGAATAGAAAACCATAGTTGTATTTGGTAAAATCTTTCAGAATATTGGGTCTTCAGTGCTCTTCAAATTCATACTTTATTAGGCCTTCCAAACATTTTTGATTCGAGTGTCACTGATGAGTCTTTTGTAGACAAAACATGTCTGGCGTATAAAATTTTAAGCCTGGTGATCTCATCTGTTATGAGTTTATTTACAACCACTGAGTCCATGCCACTGCAGGTTGAGGTTTCTTGACCAAGGGTATCACCAGCCCTGTAGTCAGCACTTCTGTGTTGACATGAATTATATCATTGATATGGTCATAAAACTCATAATTATAAACCATCTGTTTACAAACAGTACTTTTACAGAAATGAGGATTCCGAATATCTGACAAAAAGTAAAAAAAAAGATCAGTGAACATCCTCAACAAAAGGAATACAGAATGAGACCCTTGCTTTTGTTATGGGATTTCCAAAATTCCGGAAAGGACTCACTATTTTCTGAGATAAGGGTCCATGAACTCATTGTTTTTGAAAGAATGAGAGGCCTGTTTATATTTATCAGATAAACTCATTTGAGCCTCGAGTGAGAAATAATCCTTTCACAAAGTAGATTTAAACTTCAAAAATTATGCCAATTCATTAGAATTATAAATGACAAACTGGATTCTCTCTGATGATAACCTGTCGGCTATACTGATCATACCGTTGTAAAATAACTCATATTTAATGCTTCCTCAACAAATGTACAATGCAATGTGATGTAAATTAATATGTTTTTCTGTATACCTTTGTTCAACTTAGGTGATACCAGAATAAAATGATATATAGTAACAGATGCATTTGTAAATTCCAGACGTGCTGGAATGCTGTGAACATATATATACTTTTTACCTTATATCTCAAAGCAGTTTTATGTTTGTTTTATTTTTTTTGTATTTTTAGTTGGACACTGTGTTTAATATGCGACGACCTTATGACCTTGTAGCATTCATGAAACAAGAAGACAGGGGAGAGACAATACTTCAGCTTAAAAGAGAGTTATTGCAAAGGAAAGAAGAAATAGATAAAAATGAAGATAGGGATACAGGTTTGTTAGAATTAATGTGAAATGATCATCAAATAAATTGTTGAACTACATCAGAATAAAATGTAAAAATTAAAGGAAATGTCAGTTATGGAGTTTTGTGATTGATAAAATTGAGAATGGAAATGGGGAATGTGTCAAAGAGACAACAACCCAACCAAAGAGCAGAAAACAGCCGAACGCCACCAATGGGTCTTTAACACAGCGAGAAAATCCCGCACCCAGGGGCGTGCTTCAGCTGGCCCCTAAACAAAATTGTGTACTAGTTCAGTGAAAATGGACGTCATACTAAACTCCAAAACATATAAATTAACTAAAATTAAAAAACATACAAGACTAACAAAGGACAGAGGCTCCTGACTTGGGAAAGGCGCAAAAATGCGGCGGGGTTAAACATGTTTTGTGTGATCTCAACTCTCCCCTATACCTCTAGCCAATGTAGAAAAAACAAACATGCAGCAATACACACAGTAGAATTCAGTTTAAAAGAAGTGTGAGTCCGATGTCAGGTAACTTCAGCATGTTAGCACCATTGGCACTAAGACATTGAATGTCAGTCTTGACATAAGAAAACTTTTATTTTCAAGTCCTATTATGTTTTGTGTTTAGTTGAATTATAACAACTGATGTTCTTTTTTGTAGGTCTTGAACAAAGATTTTACAAAACTGATATAGACTGTGTAGCTGCAGGGAAACCATTGCCAGAATTTGATTTGTACATCAGTACAGTCCTTCCATTGGAAAATAAAGGAATTAGGTAAAACAGGTCATAAAATGGATGTTAGTCAGACATAGGGTAGTCATAATCAGTAATTTTAATCAGCTGTAATGGATTACATTTTGCGATGTAATCACATGTAATTAGTAATCATGCAATTTCTTATTACAAGTAAAAGTAATTTAATCGATTACAGTTCAAAAACAGATAGTGTCCATAATAGTCAAGTACAAATGTATAACAGGAAAATGTTTCTTGGAAGTTAGAAATTGTATGAACAGAAAGATGCTTTATGTCTTTAAAGGCACCCTGTCCCTTTCAGCTTAAGCACTCGAGTATTGAGCACTATATAACTATAGTCATATTAGTTTGATACACTTTGTTAAAAAATAAATGATGTCATGTCATGATATGTTCCAAGAGAATTCTCAGATTATTTGACCAACCTAATGATAGCATGCTTGACAGCAAGTGAGGGATGTTTTGTGATTTATCACCGGCCTGGTCAAACCAAAAACTCAAAATTCATAAAATTAAGACTATTTAAAAAAGGCTGTAGTGATAATACTGTAGAATCATTTATTTTCATGTATTGAGAGGAAAAAGCATTTTCATGGATATTTAGTTTGTGGTTTTGCCAAAGTCTGCATACAAGCTCATAGAAAAATTGTACTTCCTTGAACATTTAAAGTCGTGGTTCACCTTTACCCATCTAAATTCATGAAAATTGGTAACCCACGAATAATAATTAATCCACAGAACATAAATTGCAACATGTTACTTGAATAAAAAAAGAAATGACTCAATCCTATTTTTAAAATACTTTTTTTGTCACATCTTGTTCTCAACTACATATGTCATTTTTTGTTATCTTTATAGACAGATTATTATATTAGCATACAAATATCTACATGTATTTCTGAATATAAAGCTGATTTCGATTGGCTTTTTTTCAAGTCTTTAAAATATTGACCTTGATGAGATTATGGCCCTAACATTTGTTTTGAAAAGTGATATTGTACATACAGTATAAGCAAGGATCACTAGCCCATATGCAAATTAATCCTAATAGTTATTGTACACTGTTCTCATGCCTTTTTTGCGCTGAACATTTTTTTGCAAACCTGAAGCACTTTGTCAGTATATTTTATCCAAGCTAAAACAGCTTTATTCCATATAGTTGATGTATGGGAAAGATGCACATACTCTTGATAGTGTAAAGTTTGATTTTCAACCAAGAAACTTTTATTTTAACATACCCAATACAGAATAACTGTTTATTGATTTATTTTATTTCTTATTATTCAGTTCATGAATGATTACAAAAATTACAAAAGGAAACAAAACTCAGATATAAACATGTAAAGGTAATATCATAATTACTAAAAAGTTTTCTCCATGGGAACTGTCCAAACGGAAAGATGAATAGTGACACAACAACCAGGACACAACACAAAATATATTCAACATGTATCTCTGAACTTTCACTATGCTTTAATACCATGGTGCTATTTCGAAACCTGGAGGGAACTCTTTATAAATACATATTTACTTAGAGACCAAACATACAAGCAAAGCCTATAATCCTAATCCTAAGATGTTATTCAGCTCTACATTCCAATTTTTTCCTATTCTCACACTTTCAATTTTCTTCATTGTTTTTTTCAGACCAGAAGAACATATAGATTTGAGTATAACACCAAGGGATAATTTACACCAACCAGATTGTAGACTGTTCTCAGAACTGGAATACAGTTTTCATGCCTTTGAACACCTTGAGGTAATATGTTACACAGTTCATACTGTAGAAGTTTTGTGTAATTTGATTAGACAACAAATCAAAATTACTGTAACTTCAGAAATTATTGCGAGGTTTTGATTATTGCGAATAATGCGAATGGGTGAGTATCGCAATAATAAGAACTTGCATTCTGATATCTGATATATACCTGTATATCTGTTTTCAAATTTTCTTGAAATCGCAATAATTAATCTCGCATTATTGTCTATTCTTCAATAATCGCACTAATAAATGCACGCAATAATTTCTGAATTTACAGTATTAATATAAAACAGATTACTGTGTATGACATGAACATGTATGTATGTATGCATCCCATGCTTTCTGTACAATTTACAATATTTTTTTATCTTTTTTTTTGTGTACCAGAAATATTTTGTTTTACTCCTTTCAACATGTTCAAAATGTTGAATATTTAATGTATTTTGATATTTACACTTTGAATTTCACAACATCATGGCTTTTTTTCCCATGAATATATTTTTTTTCAATTCAAATCTTTATTGCCATTACACCATACATTTATAGCATTTGACACAACATAACAAAATTAAAACAATATCAACAAGATCATTTATCATGTTTATATACATAATGAAAGTAAATATTTCAAGAGTCCCCTGTTCTCAGTTCTATAGACATCTTTAAAAAGGATCCAAACTTATTTTACCTGAATGTGTGATCTTGGGTTGAGTATACATGTAATTTATCTATATCATTTCAATCTGTAAAGTGCATATTCTCATTTATCAAAAAGTCAAAATAAACTTTTCTAACATTACTGTTAATATCACAATATAAAAAGAAATGATTTTCAGGTATCTTCAATTTTTGGCAGTTTTTGCATAATCTTTCTTCTCTTGGCATTTTAAGATATCTTCCCTGTTCTATAAATAAATTGTGGTTACTTATTCTAAATTTTGTTATCAGTTTTCTAAATTCAAATTTTGAGCAACTTAAATATTTTTCTTCTGTATTATTTAGTTTTACATGTTTATAAATAGTGAGTTTGCTGTTATCCTTTATATCTGATATTTTATCATTTACTTTTCATAAAAATGCTTCAAATTTAATTTTATTTGATCTCTTTAAGTTATATTATGTGAGGAATATTTCTTCAATGTGTCCAAATCCATACCTGTTTCTTTTAACACATGTTTTACATATGAAAACCAAGAATAAATTCCCAAAGAGTCCAGATTTTGAGAAAAAACAAAGGATTCTTTCACAAGAGGATTAATGCCATCAGAATATAATCTAATAAGATACAATATAGATTGAAACTTAATATTTAGTTCCAGAGGAAGTCTTCCCAAATCAGCTCTTGCACCTGAATTTGATAAAGTTTTTCTAATACCCAATGTGTATTTACAAAACAGTAGGTGTAACTTTTCTAAAGGTGTTTTATCAATGAAATAAAAAGGGTCCAATTGTTTTCTTGAATTATTTGCCCTCTTTTTAACTGTAAAATATGTTATAAAGGAATCCAAAAATGTTACTTCTGAATTATATAAAGCTATAGAATTTTGAATGTTTTTAAAACATAGTTATTTTTATCAGATTTCAGTTTTAAGCATAAATATATTATTTAATTGTTATTCTGCATTAACTTATTTATTGGAAACTTTGTTACAATGTACTTTTAAAATTGCATATGTTTATAAATGAATGATGAACGTATTGATTTTCCTGCATATTTTGAAAATACACGCAGTCATGTTTTGTCAGCGTCATCTTTTATAAAATTTTATGAATATGTAATATGTTGAAACTTTGTTTTCCTACATTAGTTTGTGATGGGATTGTTCATGTTATTATGTAAATATATTCAGTCTCCCCTTGTGATAGAAGGAATTTCTAAAATTCTTGCTTTTTAAACCGGTTCTCACCAGTTGGATGAAAACATTCATTGATTAGAATGTTGCATGAGATCAGATAGCACTGCGTTCTGTCAAATAGAACAGCATTGAAAAATCATGGCACTAGAATAGTCTGGGTAGAACACTATCAGTCAATGCATTGCAACTGACATAGACAAAGAAATTTAAAGAGACAGCAAACCAACAACTAAATATATATGTCAATATGACAGTAATTTGATGACTCCAAAAAAGAAGGAAGAGAATTCTATAGGGAAGCATATATATATGGTCTTATATGCATTTTTCATTTTTTTGTTGAAATTATTTATTTAAAGTTTACCTTTAATAGGGAGGACATGTGAAGTCGTGTATAAAAAATGTTAATTTTGTTTTTTCTTTCTGGTCAAATATACCTATTCCTGGCTTAAGTTCAAAACACTATTTTAATTGCAATTAAAACAATTAAACCCATCAAGACATGCTTTTGATATTTAATATAATCATTAAAGATTTTTTTGTTTTACTCACATGGAAACTTAGAAAAGTATATTTGTTCACTGTAACATGCAGCCAAGAAAATGTGTGTTTAAATTATTGCATTATACCCTTCAGTGACAACAATTTTCAGGTTCGGGAAGGGAAACACAGGAGCTCACAAATGATCAACAGATTATATTTTACAGAATAAAAAATATTGCACTTTATATTTTTTGATATATGACATTTATTTTTATGTATATTTTATCTTGTACATTTGCAGGGTATGAAAGACAGAGAGACATTGCAAGGAACTCCTGAACTTGGACTGAAAAATGCTATTACATACCAAGACAGTGTTGATGAATATGGTCACAGAATATATGAGGCTTTGCAAAAGGTATGATCTAGATCAGATCACACTGAGTTTAAAAACATCACTTATGATATACAGGGTTCATGCTATTGGGCAACTAGGGCGAAAAAGTTGTTTAAACATCTGTCATTTCACTTTTCCAGACTGCCAAATGCGATATCTAGTGTTCAAACATTCCCTTTTATCATCATTAATTTTCCATTTTTATCAAGTTGATGTAAAGTCATTTTTTTATTTGTAAGTAAAGAAATTAAAAAGAACTAAAATATTTATTTCTTAAGAAAGGAAGTGAAAGTGTTGACTTTGCAGACTGGTCTTATACTATTTCAAAGGAATAACTTTTTAAGCAAACAAATCAAAGCTTTTTCTGGCACATGTTTCACGAGCTTAGTTAACAAATTCTGATTTTGGTGAAATAAATTTGTCACTTCGAAAAATGTTATTAAAAGTGTCCTAATTTAATGTTTGATCCGTTTATTGCATTAATCACATCATTTATTTTCAAATAGCTTGTCAAAGATTTTTTATTTTTGTGAATTTTACTCGCCCGCTATTGAAATTTCTACATTCCATTGATCAGAGACAGACCAACAATAAATGAAATCTGTATTCTTATGATAATAACTACAGACACATAAATGGCTGTACATTTATAAAAGTAACATTTTTGAAATAGGGCACCTTGGTTAAACAATTATCATATTTCCTATTTCAGAAAAGGACATCTTGGATAAACAATTATTATATTTTCTATTTCAGAATAGTACATCTTAGATAAACAATTATCATATTTTCTATTTCAGAATAGGAAATCTTGGATAAACAATTATTGTATTTTCTATTTCAGAATCGAACATCTTGGATATTATACAATATGGCAGCCTTTTACTGGAGAATTAAAGGAGATCCATATCACGCTATAGAATGTGTCAGGAGAGCTTTACATTTTTCACCAAGGTTTGTTCGGTGAATAAAACAGTCAGGAGATCTGTGTCTGAATCTATCTTACTTATTGAAATAAGAGTCAAATCACCAGTAGTTTTCTCATTGTGGAGTTGTATTATTTGTTCAAGTCAGAGTTCTAATGATTATTTTTTTTATCTAATTTCCTCCCCTTATGAAAAACTAATCCTATGTCAGGATCTGTATTTTAATGAGACTGAACAAAAACCTACATCCAAGTCTTTTGAATTAGAAAACAAACATGTCAAGTGTTTTAGCTACTTTTTGTCGAGCCTTCGACTTTTGTCGAAAAAGCGAGACATAGCGATCCTACATTCCTTCGGCGTCGTCGTCGGCGGCGTCCACAAATATTCACTCTGTGGTTAAAGTTTTTGAAATTTTAATAACTTTCTTAAACTATCCTGGATTTCTACCAAACTTGGACAGAAGCTTGTTTATGATCATAAGATTATATTCAAAAGTAAATTTTGTAAAAAAAAATTCCATTTTTTCCGTATTTTACTTATAAGTGGACTTAGTTTTTCTGCCAGTTAACATTACATTCACTCTGTGGTTAAAGTTTTTAAAATTTCAATAACTTTCTTAAACTATCCTAGATTTCTACCAAACTTGGAAAGAAGCTTGTTTATGATCATAAGATAGTATCCAGAAGTAAATTTTGTAAAAAAAAAATTCCATTTTTCCGTATTTTACTTATAAATGGACTTAGTTTTTCTGCCAGGAAACATTACATTCACTCTGTGGTTAAAGTTTTTGAAATTTCAATAACTTTCTTAAACTATCCTGGATTTATACCAAACTTGGAAAGGAGCTTGTTTATGATCATAAGATAGTATCTAGAAGGAAATTTTGATAAAATTTTGTTCCATTTTTTCTGTATTTTACTTATAAATGGACTTAGTTTTTCTTCCAGTCAACATTACATACATTCTGCAGTTTAAGTTTTTAAAACATTTATTAGATTCATAATTTATCCTGGATTTTTACCAAACTTGGACAGAAGCTACTTACAATCAAAACATAGTATAGAGGGGAATATTTTTATTAATTTTTTTCTTCATTTTTGTTGAGCCTGCGATTAACACCAAAAGTAGGCGAGACACTGGGTTCCGCGGAACCCTTACGAATTTTTTGCTTCCCTTAAGAATAAGTTTGTTTTGCTGTCAATGCAAAACAAATAAGAGCTACATTGTAAATAGTCCTACTTACACTGGCACAGAATACTCTCTGGTTAAGAGATTACATGCTTGCATTTTTTGTTAAACAGATGTAGATTTTCAACTTTTCAATTTTTATGGCACCAGAAAAAAAACATATATATTTTATTTGTATATTTGTTGAGTCTGCGACTTTTGTCACAAAAGCGAGACATAGCGATCCTACATTCTGTCGTTGCGGTGGCGTCCACAAATAATCACTCTGTGGTTAAAGTTTTTGAAATTTTAATAACTTTATTAAACTATCCTGGATTTCTACCAAACTTCGACAGAAGCTTGTTTATGATCATAAGATAGTATCCAGAAGTAAATTTAAAAAAAAAAAAATCCTGTTTATCCGTATTTTACTTATAAATGGACTTAATTTTTCTGCCAGTTAACATTACATTCACTCTGTGGTTAAAGTTTTAAAAATTTTAACAACTTTCTTAAACTATCCTGGATTTGTACCAAACTTGGACAGAAGCTTGTTTATGATCAAAAGCTAGTATCTAGAAGGAAATTTTGTAAAAATTTATTTCCTGTTTTTCCATATATTACTTATAAATGGACTTTTTTTTACTTCCAGTTAACATTACATACAGTCTGCATTTAAGTTTTTAAAAAAATTATTAGATTCATAAACCATTTTTACCAAACTTGGACAGAAAATTTTTAATAATTTTTTCCCCATTTTTGTTGAGCCTGCAACTAACAGCAAAAGTAGGCGAGACACCGGGTTCTGCGGAACCCTTACGAATTTTGTTATTAAAAAGAGTTGCATTTTCTATTCCTTATCAATTTTTTCCAGGCATCAGAAAGATGTTGCATTGATTAGTTTAGCCAACATTCTCCACAGAGCAAGATATTCCAATGAGGCTGCAGTTGTTGTACATGCTGCCCTAGATGTCTCAAAAGAATTGAATGTCAATCATTTTACACTGGGAAATATTTATGCTGTAAGTTGATAATATTGAATGATTATTAGAAGTGAAATTAGTTTTTTCCAATTTGTATACCCCACCTAGGAGCATTATGTTTTTTGGTCTGTGCGTCCGTTCGTCTGTCTGTCCCGCTTCAGGTTAAAGTTTTTGGTCAAGGTAGTTTTTGATGAAGTTGAAGTCCAATCAACTTTAAACTTGTACACATGTTCCCTATGATATGATCTTTCTAATTTTAATGCCAAATTAGAGTTTTGACCCCAATTTCACTGTCCACTGAACATAGAAAATGATAGTGCGAGTGGGGCATCCGTGTACTATGGACACATTCTTGTTGAATGGAAAAAAAGGGGTATGGTGTTTAATTTAAAACCATATACTGTGGATTAATTTATTTTCATGGATACTAATTTTTGAGGATTGAGGAACAATTGTTTTCATGCCCCCACTGTGGCAGAGGGGGATTCAAGTCTTACCCTTGTATGTCCTGAAATTGTTTTTTTCTGTTCTCTAACTTCAGTATGTCTTGACCAAATGTTAGGAAACTAATACACAATGCTAATTACCACCACACACATATCAAGTTCATACTTGGATGGCATCACTTTCACCGTTCTTGAGTTATGTTCCTTTATAAATGGAAAAATTACTGAATTTGCCATTTCTGCACTCTTATTTACTTTGCCACAATCAAATGTTCTGAAACTTATACACAATGCTTATTACCATAAAACACAGATTAATTTCAGATTTAGGTGGTGTCACTTTCACAGTTCTTAAGTTATGTCCCATTATTTATGGAAAAAATGTTGAATTTGCTGTTTCTGCACTCTTGCTTTACTATGCTTCAACCAAATGTTATGAAACTTATACACAATTCTTATTACCACCAAACACAATGTCATTTATGTGAAAATTTAATTAATACATTAAGCATGGTGATAAAAGCTTATCCGTCAAGCTGTGGGTAAATTTTAACAGCCTGAACAAAGCGAATTTATTGCAGGTCAATTTTACCATATCCCCTCACATCATGAATTGTGAGTACTGGAACGAGCTAGTTGTGCCTTTTGCTAACTGGAATGACACATGAAAGATGAAGGCAGAGATATATGTTTTAGTTCACTAAAATATTTCTACCTTTTTAAACATCTATTTTGTTTCAGGTATTAGCAGAATACAATAAATCCATTATATGTTTTGAGAACACCCTGAGGATACAACCAGATTTTGATGCTGCAGCTAAAAGAAAACATGCTGTTTTGTGTCATGCCAAGTTAGAGGAAGCTTTAGAGGCTCAACACAGGTAAAATTAGTAGAAGCTTAGAGGCTCAAGACAGTGAAACTATTGAAAATTTCAGAAGTTTAATGCATGGGATACAAGTGAAAACTTAAGAGATTTATCAGGTGAAATTAGAGGAAGCTTAAGAGGCTCAATAATTAAAACTAGATGGAAATTTAAAGACTCTTCAGTTTAATCTATTGGCATCTTAAAATTGGTTGAAACCTTAAGCAATATACATCGGTAAAACTTAAGGAAGTATTTAAGGCTTAGCAGGGGTTATAAAATATTAGAGGAAATTTTAGTAGCTCAAAACAACAGGCAATGATTTTGAGTACTTAAGTAGGCATATTGCAATTTTTTTGTTTTACATTGAGTGTGGGTTTGGAACAGACATCGTGATGATAAGAGTCATTTTATTTTTATACATGACTTTCATTTTATTCATTAGTTATAATATTGATTAAGTAATAGGTGGTGATATACGCTAGAACTTTTAATCAGACACAAGCATACATAAACATTTATACAGTTTTCAGCATCAATAATTTACCCTCTTCTCTCTCCCAAAAAAGACAGTTTTCAGCATGTATGCATAATGTGATGAATGAATTTTTTTCAGGTCTTTACAGCAAACATTGAATGATTTGAAAGAATACCAGAGAAAACATGATATATTCCAGAGTCAGACAGAGAAACTGATTTCTGAACAAGTTACTAACGATGCCAAACTGGACCAACATATCTCTTATGAGAACATGAAGCTGAGGGAATCGGCAGTGGAGATAGGTATGAGTTAAATCGTGGATTTTTAATTTATGTACAAACATACTGGTAAATTGATATTTTTTATTCTTTTGCAAAATACAAAAATGAGTCAAATCTAAAAAAAAACCCAGATGGATTGATGCGCAGAAAAGAAAAACAAGAATTACCAAAAATATTGGATCATTCAATAAACCACAAAAAAACCACCAACACCTATAGTGGAGTTTAACCAGTTTTAGGTGCTCACAAACCTTCCCAATAAAGATCATATGTAATTAAAGTAGAACACACAAAAAAAAAGACCACACAGTACAAATGAAGTTTGCATTCACATAAAACTTTTAAAGAAGTTCGCTTGTCATGTTTTGGAATTTTTGTCAGATTTTCGGAATCCTCTGGTTATACGACCGCAAAAAAATTTTTGTTGTCGTATATTGGTATGACGTTGTCGTCGTCGTCGTCGTCCGGCGTCGTCCGAAGACACATTGGTTTTCGCACTCTAACTTTAGTTTAAGTGAATGGATCTCTATGAAATTTTACCACAAGGTTCAATACCACAAAAGTAAGGTTGGGATTGATTTTTGGGGTAATGGTACCAACAGTAAAGGAATTAGGGGCCAAAAATAAGCATTTTTGTAACTTCCAGACATAACTTGTGTGTTAGTGTATGGATCTCTCTGACATTGTACCACAAGGTTCCATATCACAAAAGGAATGCTGGGATTGATTTTGGGGGTAATTGCTGCAAAATTTTAGGAATTAGGGGCCAAAAAAGGGGCAAAAAACAAGCATTTTTCTAGTTTCATGACAATAACTTGTGTGTAAGTGTATGGATCTTTCTGAAATTGTACTACAAGGTTCCATATCACAAAGGGAAAGGTGGGTTTGAGTTTGGGGGGTAATTGCCGAAACATTTAGGAATTGGGGGCCAAAAAGGGGCCAAAAATAAGCATTTTTCTAGTTTCCAGACAATAACTTGTGTTCAAGTGTATGAATCTCTCTGAAATTGTACTGCAAGGTACCATACCACAAAGGGAAGGCTGGGATTGATGATGGGGGTAATTGCCTCAATATTTTAGGAATTAGGGGCCAAAAAGGGGCAAAAAACAAGCATTTTTCTAGTTTCAGGACAATAACTTGTGTGTAAGTGTATGATTCTTTATGAAATTGTACTACAAGGTTCCATATCACAAAGGGAAAGCTGGGTTTGAGTTTGGGGGTAATTGCCGAAACGTTTAGGAATTTGAGGCCAAAAAGGGGCCAAAAAACACATTTTTCTAGTTTCCAGACAATAACTTGTGTTCAAGTGTATGGATCTCTCTGAAATTGTACTGCAAGGTACCATACCACAAAGGGAAGGCTGGGTTTGAGTTTGGGGGTGATGAATCATAAGGGGGTTCAAAAAATTTGGAGGGGGGGGGGTTTCCTTTTTTTCCTTTTTTTTTTCTTTTAAAATTTTCCATTTTAAATCGGTTATTTCTGATTTATATTTAAAAGCAAATAATAATGATATGGTAGGAGATACACACCAAACAGGATATGTAAATTATTATATAATAAGTATTGTGCAATAGCAAGAAATTTTCAATTGCACAGTATTGCACAATAGCAAGAAATCTTTAATTGCACAGTATTGCGCAATAGCAAGAAATCTTCAATTGCACAGTATTGCGCAATAGCAAGAAATATCCAATAGCACAATATTGCGCAATAGCAAGAAATTGTCAATTGTACAGTATTGCGCAATAGCAAGAAATATTTAATTGCACAGTATTGTGCAAAAGAAGATACTTCGTATAAATTACTTATTTCTTGACCAATTTCAATGGGGTTTTATTCTTGAATTCTTGGGGTTCTTTAATATGCTGAATCTAACCGTGTATTTAGTTTTTGGATTTTGGGCCCCGTTTTTAAATTGGTCCACATTGAGGTCCAAAGGGTCCAAAATTAAACTTTGTTTGATTTCATCAAAAATTGAATTATTGGGGTTCTTTGATATGCCGAATCTAACCGTGTATTTAGATTCTTAATTTTTGGTTCCATTTTCAAATTGGTCTACATTAAGGTCCAAAGGGTTTAAAATTAAACTTAGTTTGATTTTAACAAAAATTGAATTCTTAGGGTTCTTTGATATGCTGAATCTAAACATGTATTTAGATTTTTGATTATGGGCCCAGTTTTCAAGTTGGTCAAAATCGGGGTCCAAAATTAAACTTTGTTTGATTTCAACAAAAATTGAATATATGGGGTTCTTTGATATGCTGAATCTAACCATATATTTAGATTTTTGATTTTTGGGCCCTGTTATCAACTTTGTCCACATTGAGGTCAAAAGGGTCCAAAATTAAACTTTGTTTGATTTCATCAAAAATTGAATTCTTGGGGTTCTTTGATATGCTGAATCTAACCATGTATTTAGATTTTGGATATTGGACCATAATAGGTGAATGTCCAATTTAAAATGTTTAAGTTCTTAGACCACATTCATTCTGTGTCAGAAACCTATGCTGTGTCAAATATTTAATCACAATCCAAATGCAAAGCTGTATCAAGCTTGAATGTTGTGTCCATACTTGCCCCAACTGTTCAGGGTTCGACCTCTGTGGTCGTATCAAGCTGCGCCCTGCGGAGCATTTTATTTTATCTATTTGAATGCCTTTAAAAAATTTGCCCATTGACCCCCATTTTTCTTTTTAAAAATCTTTTACATGCATGATTATAAGCCATCTGTAAAAGTCTTATAAAATCTTAATTATTTTTTAATAGTTTTTGAGAACTTTAACTTGTCAATGATAAATCTATGAAAAATCAAGAGAGAATATTTTCCCGCCAAAATTTCAATGGCTAATATCTCGAAAACAAGCACATTGACCTATATTTTATTTTTGCTCTTTTTGTTCCTTTATTAATCCCCTATCAATATATACTAGTGTTACGAAAAGCTTGTTATTTTGAAACTGAGTAGCGAACTTCCTTAAGGAATCAACATGATTTATACATAGCCTCCTATATGACTGATATAATTAAAGATCATTTATTATAAATTTACAAAAAATTTCAAAGGGACTATTAAAAAATCTATTATGAAGACAACTGATTTTTGTCAGGGACTTGACAGATTTAAGTAGTTTTAACTACAATTTTCAGGAGAATACTGTCGGATGGTTGATAGAGATGGTAAACAGGTTCTGATGTGTACATGGGGGAAGAAAGATACTTCCACGGTAGAATTAGATTTTGCCCCTTTCTTTGACGATTCCAAAAAAGAGGAAAAAAATCAGGTATGTTTTAAATGCTTTGCCTAAGAATGTTGGGTGGATAGCATTGGATTTGCTGTAAAGTATACAGTATACTTCTCAGGAGAGCTCATGTGTCTTGTCTAGACCAGTTATACCATACATAAGCAAAGAAATTCATTTTGAATTAATCCCCACTTTATGATGCTACATTTAATTAATTTTATATACCAATGCCCTATTTTCACCAAATATTATTTAAGTTTAAGGTATATATTCACGATATAGTGATTTTTAGGAATTATATATTTTACACACATTCATTTTTGACATTCGACTTGTTTTCTTGTAATGAATTGTTTTCACCTTTGTTTCTGTTGTCTATGATAGTGGTATTTTATAGCTTTTAGGGCCTTTTGTGAACTGCTTTTTGTTTTTTTACGACCTTTTGCTATTTCACTGATTGAGATTTTAAAGTGGTAGGTTGAATGGATGAAATGTTAAATTTCCCATAAAAAAGTTTTACACCTATCTTATATTCTGATGAATAACATGCATATGACTGATTTTATTATATTGTTATGTTTAGTAACATCTTACTGTTTTTGTCCTTTAAGGGTAAAGTTTTCATAAAGGGTCTTTGATAATCTCAAATAAAAAGTAGGCAATGCCAAAACACATGTACTGTAATTAACAGCGTGTGGTGATGATTCATAGCCTGACTGATTTCAGTCCTTCATGGACCTTCAGCTCAAGGTCAACATGAGGTACCATAATATTCTGTGACTCTTTTATTCATGTTAAAGATTCTTAGAAACTTAACTATTCTAACCTACAGCTAAAGATCAACGTGAGGTACCATTATATTCTGTGATTTTTTTTCACCAAAAATCATACAGGTAAAATTGATTGTAATGCTACACTGAAATGTTTGTGAGTCGATGAGTATCATAAAAAAATGTCAAGAGTTACCTTATGAACTATGTAAAGTTCTTAACTAATGCATTCTATTTTGTGCATATTGTGTGGGTCATTGTAACCTACTTTGTCATCTTGTGTGACATTCATGTTGGTATTGATGACCTCAGTGTTGTAATTCAAATATTTAAAAAAAAACAGTTTTTCCTCTTTTTTTAGTATCACTTTTCAGCTCCTCTTTTAGACATTTGGGTGAATATTACCTATATTTCTTGCTTGAAGAACTTGTATATATTATTTTCTTGTGCAATATCAGATTTATGCTTGGATGTTGTGTATATTTTGGGTGACATAAGAACCATATTCTCGATGAGAACATTAATTTCTCTGACTTGCAAGACATCTAACTATCTGTCAATCAGCCAATATACATTTATGATAATATAATCATTTCCAAAACTATGATGTATATACCTTAAATTCTTTCTGTGATTATGAAATGTACATGCTATATTTGCTCCTTTTTGTCTAAAAAATCTTCCTTTCTTTTTACATGCATATAACTGATTTTATATATGGCATCATGTACATGTATAATATTCTTTTACCTGGTACTTTTTCTTACAAAGTTTGTATATTTTTTAAATGTGTTGATATGTATTTGATATTAGGGTGACAAGATTGTTTACTAGATAATTTGCATTTCACACATTTTACAGAAAATTAAGGATTGGTTCGTGTGCTCCTTTTGGGGATTAAAATTGTCCTGAAACATTAGGGGTTGATATTAAGAACTTTTGTCTTACATAGTATATTAAAAAAGTCATTATAACATTTATGAAATATCATATATAATTTCAATTGAGAAATAACACATTTCTACTGCATGAAAATTGATAAATTGACAAAAAAAAATTTAATTAAAAATCGAAAAAAAAGCCCTGTAAAGAACCATTGTAAAGATATGGGGGAAAAATACATTTGCAATTTCCCTTTTTGAAGCTAGAGTAATGAGTACGGCTTACTTGGAATATGGCTATTTCAATGTTTCTAAAAGTAGAATATTTGACAAAAAAGTGAATTACAAAATTCTAAATGAATATGAAATTGACCTTTTCTTTGCTGTCACATTTAAATACATTTGTATACCCAACATTTCTGTATTCATATTTATAGAAGAAACACAGAACTGTATACTTTAAATTCAGATATTTGCATGCCTTTATTACTATGATGTTTTAACTAAGAACAAAAACGATCGTTTGATTATTACCATTTTGGAAAATGATAAATGTATAATGATAAAAAGTATTGAAATGCAAATTTTCTTTTTGTGAAAGGTATTCCCTCGCAATTTTTGCAAGAATAAAAACATTGCAATACTTTCTGAATTTACAGTACTAGTATTTAAAGCAGCCAGCATTGTTCCTTTCGTGTATTTATTTGTACTTACAAAATGTATTTACGTTATTTTTAGACAGCAGATTTACCTGCATCAGAGAAAAAGAAAGTAGACTATTCTAAACCTATCAGGGAACCATTTTACACTAAGGAGAAAATGATCGAGAAACCAAAGGTATGACCGGTATTAAAGAACTGTATATATAAGAACTAAGCAATGATCTAGGCACTGACATCTGAATTTGGAGTTGCATACAGTAGCAGGTGTTTTTGCACTGGCATGATTTAAATTATATTTTTTATGGTCAATTTTCAGTTTATAAATTATTTAATGGCACAAAAACTGATACTACATCTGTGTTGATATAACCCTGCTACAAATAATTCGTGTTTCAAAACATCAGAAAATTAGTAAAATTTGGGATTTGAACATTCCTGATGAAAAGTAATACACTATGGAAAAAAATGATGGAGGCAATAGAGGAGTAGGTTCACAAAAGGTGGATATTGGTCCTATAATTCCGTAAAATTTAACTTCAATAATAAAAATTAACATTTGATGACAAAATATGTAAAAATATCTGACAAATACAAAATTAACAAGTTCTAACCCATAGAGCACTGATCATGTCCTAATTGTGTACACTTAAGAAGAAAATTATATTTTTGACTAACTTTTCACAAAAATTTCAAGTTTTTGCTTCAAATGACATTGGCCACATGCATGGACCACCAATTTTTTTTTTTTTTAAGGATGTTTTTCTGACCCATTTACATCTTTTCGTAGAAGTGTGTGGCTGATGTCTATCAGAAGGAAATAGACCTTAAAAATACAGAAAAACTGATAATCTGGCTAAAACCCTGTAAAATATCATACTTTTGAAGCTGTCAACATGGTTAAAATAAACAAAAGACAGAGAAGAAGGATAGTCAGCATTACTAAATTTGTTAATTAATAAATAAAAATTGCCTTGATTTTTAGTTCCAGTTTGGTGATCCTGATGCTGAGAATGAATGGCCGTCCAGAGAGGAATGTGATACTTATGTACAGAAAGTCCCGGATCCAAGAAATCTTAGCACTGTATATTTATCACCAGAAAATAAAGGATTTGAGTATGTATAAATGGAAGAATTCTTTGTAATACTTGTCTCTATTCTGAAAAGAAGTTTTATGTTTAAGTACCATTGATAGGTTTATTTCCATTTGTATTCATTTTTGTGGATTGAGGGATATTGATAATTTTTTGTATACTTTTAAAATTTTGTTGTTAAAAAGTAATTTGCATACAAGGCTATGGGAAAATTTTCTTCAATAAAACACTTATGTGGTTAAACATTACCTACTTAATCCATGAAAATTAGTGTCCCTCAAAAAAAATAATGAATCTGCAGTTTTTATGCCCCACCTAGGGGCATTATGTTTTTTGGTCTGTGCGTCCGTTTGTCCGTTCGTCCATCCATCCGTCTGTCCGTCTGTCCCACTTCAGGTTAAAGTTTTTGGTCAAGGTAGTTTTTGATGAAGTTGAAGTCCAATCAACTTGAAACTTAGTACACATGTTCCCTATGATATGATCTTTCTAATTTTAATGCCAAATTAGAGTTTTGACCCAATTTCATGGTCCACTGAACATAGAAAATGATAGTGCAAGTGGGGCATCCGTGTACTATGGACACATTCTTGTTAAGAATTCTAGTACAACCATTATAGATTCTTAGTTATCATCCAGAATAAATAAACATGATAAATGGAAACTGTTTATATCAATTTTCAAAAATGAAAAAAAAAAACCCAAAAAACTTGAAGCCATTACACAATTTATGTGTCAGAGATATGTGTCTATGAGATAGCAAGCAAAAAACACAAAAAAAAGGCATCTGTAGGTCAACATACACTGTTCTACAATAGACAAGTTGGTGTACAATATGCTATAAATCATCTAGAAATTTGATGAATCAATTAGACTGACTCGCATGCATACATATCATTTGGACTCTGGTGGATAAAGTAGTTGTCTCATTGGCAATCATACCAAGTATGCTTATTTTTATAACAAAGACCTGCAATCAACAATGAATTCCCTAAATGGCAAAAAAACAAAAAGTGTGTGAATTCTTAAGCTTGTGGTAGGTAAGCTATTATTTGTAGATACATGCATAGTTAAAAGTTTTTAAAAAATCTGAAATATATGTAATTCTTCATTTTTTATAGGGTAAATGCACTTTTATCTGAGGCACAAAATATTCCTCCAGGGGAGGAGCACCCACTGCCATGGTATCCACCTGTATGTGTGCCTTTATTGGAGATTCCTGAGGGATCAGTCACTACTTATGATCACATCCCAGCTGTCAGCAGAGAACAAAGAGTTAAAATGCCACTAAAATTGTTTGACAAGTTCCAAAAAAAGGTACATAGTTATTGGATTTTTTAACAAGGTCTTGTATTTTTGGAATGTTAAGTGAAAAGGACTAATAAAAAAATTTGTTTATACCATCATATAACTAATATAATCCTTAGAAAACTAATTAAAAGATAAGAGGGAAAATTAAACAGACTTCAAACTAGTTGCATCTTTGTGTATATGTTATAAAGGGAAAGAAGATACTAATGGGGCAATCATAGATTATAAGTCCAACAGAAAAAGTCAACACTACAGCCAAAAATATAAAAAAACCACATAAACCCCACCAAAAACCAGCATATTTTCTGATCCACATTTATTTGTTAATACATATTTCCTTTTACACTGATCACATCCTGGCATTGATGAAATTTGCAAAAATAATGTTGTGGCTGAAATTTGTAGCATCTGAATCAAACAAAATTTGTAATAAAATGTAGTTTTAAATAAAAGCCAGTATCTAGGTCAAAATAATGCATTACAGGTTCAATACAGGGTGTTCCTCAGGAGAAAAAGGACTTTACTAGATCCATGGGGAAAAAAAAGAATTACCCTGCCCTTTTTCAGACTGATTTATACAACACAACAGTTTATAAGTTCATGGCCATGGGAAACATGTTCTTTTCTGCAAATAATGTTAATAAAAAAAGACATCGTCCTATATGATCATGTCAGAAAATGGCCATCTTATAAATATGTATAATGACAGATCTTCTTTCAAATTTTTCAGAGGTTAATTAACCATGTTCCTGACAGAATTTTAACAGCAGAGGAAGTTGGACAGAGATTACTGACTGCATTGAAAGAGGTAAGTTTAAAAGAATATGTAGTGTTTGTGTACGTACATGTAGTAAATTTTAGTGTGAAATAGCCAAAGCTAGTCCATTAAAATGAATGGGGGAGAGAAGGAATAATTATATTGATTTGAAAGTACAGCCCAGCTGTGGACCTCAGTAAAAATAAAAAAAGGTCAAAAAAGACTGAGCAGTAGTCCCCAAAACATTACTTTGAAAAATAAATTTTGAGAAACTCCTTCCTGAATTATGGCATTGGGTTAACCAAGGACAAGGAAAAGTAAGCAATACCTGCTCCACTAATGACACTCATTCTGTTTCACATGACATGTAAAAATGTCTGAGGATTATTTGAAGCAATTATAATCTTTTACAATGTTCATTTGCAAATTATGAAATAAAAATATATACCTGGAGTTGAGAAAATCCTAGCCTCGGTACCGCTTTATCAAAATTCTATAATGAATTGGAAGAGTTAAAAAATTATCAATGACAGTAATATTACACACAGTATTTAGTCTCACTGGTACAAATTTTCAGTTATGAAAAATTTCTTTAGATTAAAAAGTTATTCTGTCATCTGACAGTAAAACTTCTCAAATACATAACAAAGTTACAGTTGTTATTGCATTTACAGGCAATTTTTTTTCTGACTGAATTTTAAAGTTTGTTAAGTATCAATAGATGTTTTATGGAAAATCAGTTAAAAGAGATGTGGATATAAATCAATGAGAGAATTTTAAAAACTGAAGTGAAGTTCCTTTTTTTTTTAATTTGATCTAGAATTGATTATCAAGTTCAGTTTTTAAATGTTAATTGATTTCTTTGACAGAAAATTGGACCAGAATGGATCCTTTACAATGTTGCTGGATTGTATTGGCGTGTTATAGGTAACAACTACCATGGAATAGAGTGTTTTAGACGCTCATTGTATTTTGTACAGCCACAGTACAAAGATGTGCCTCTTGTCAACCTGGCCAACATTCTATACATGTGGGGAAAGTTTGAAGATGGTGTTAAAATCATGAAAGATGCTTTGGCAATTAATGATCTGGAGGTAATGATACAATTTATCCAAAACTTCTACTTTGTAATACTGTAAATTCAGAAATTATTGTGTGCATTTATTATTGGGATTAATGACAATCGTCGCAAATGAGAGTTTAATTATTGTGATTTTAGGAAATGTTGCATACAAATAATGCTATCAATATTTTAAATGTGGGTTTTTATTTTTGCAAAACCTATCTATTCACAATTTTTGGCAATAATAAGAACATTGCAAAATTTATGAATTTAAGTATTCAAGAATCTATTCACCTGAAAATAGTAATATTTCCAGTTGGCAAAATGTTGATAAGAAGATGAACAAATCTTTATGCTGCAGTTTAAGTGGTGGAAATGTTTATTTTCATCATGAGAATTGAATATAATATATAATACTTTTGAAATATGAGTAAATATTTTTTCAATATTTTAACAAAATCTTACGGTGAAGTTGATTCTGAGTAGAGTCTAGCTAGTATAAAGGAGAATATACTTATTTGAATATAAATGTTATCCTCCTGAGTTGGTATAAAATTGAGGATGGAAATAGGGAATGTGTCAAAGAGACAACAACCCAACCAAAGAGCAGAAAACAGCCCAAGGCCACCAATGGGTCTTCAACACAGCTAGAAAATCCCGCTCCCAGTTTAGTGTGACGTCCATTTTCACTGAAAATGGGACAGGCGCAAAAGTGCAAAAATGTATGTTATATATGCTGCTTGAAATTGCCCATCATCGTCCATTAATCAATCAATTCTTGCTTTATTTCAGCCGGATTCTCACTTTTTGTATGGAAATTTGTTATGGGTCACAAAGAACTACACAGGTGCTGTAAAACATTACGAGAAGACAATTGATATAGAGCCTGAGCACCAGGAGGCTTTCAATGCTCTCAGAGCTATCAAATGTTACCTGAAATATCATCATTCTGCCCAGAGTGCTGCCCCTGCTGAGATGTCACAACCCAACCTGCCAAACTGTCCTCAAAGAGCTCAGAATAAAAACCAGGAAACAGAAAGTCGAGTTATCTGTAAAAATGTAAGTGGCTTGGTACAGAAATTTGTTGATATGATGTAAAAGTGTTGTAATTCTGGTTCTGTTCCTTGTTCACCACCCATCGGTACTTTTCCATCCTTGTTGTTAAGGCTCAGTGGATTTCATTGAACTTTACACGTTTTAGTCAGTTTTTCTTATACTAAATTGTTTATATCTTATTGAAAACCTTGTAGAATTTCAAGTTCTTGACAACAAACTTAAACCAAAATAAAACCAAAATAGCACCAAATTAAAACCAAAATAACACCAAACTAAAACCAAAATAACACCAAATTAAAACCAAAATAGCACCAAATTAAAACCAAAATAGCACCAAACTAAAACCAAAATAACACCAAACTAAAATAACACCTAACTAAAACCAAAATAGCACCAAATTAAAACCAAAATAGCACCAAATTAAAACCAAAATAACACCAAACTAAAATCAAAATAACACCTAACTAAAACCAAAATAACACCAAATTAAAACCAAAATAACACCAAACTAAAACCAAAATATCACCAAATTAAAACCAAAATAGCACCAAATTAAAACCAAAATATCACCAAATTTCACATCAAAACTAACACCAAAAAACAAATGGAAAATGGCACAAAAATTGCAACCAAAATTACACAAAAATTAGTCAAAATTACTACAAAATTATCACCAAAATTAAAACCAAAAGTTATACCAAAGAAACAACCCTTTATGCTTCTAGAGGAAATTCTAGAACTTACATTGACAAATAAACCTTTATTTGTCAGCTGAAAACACATGTATCAAGAAAAACATACTATTCAGAGTACACATATGTAACAAACACATATGTCCTATAAGTTGGCAAAACCACATAATAAGATATCCATGATGAATCCTCAGTAACTTCCATCCATGATACAAAGGAGTTCAAAAATCAGGTTTTGAACAGATATATTGTTAATATCATGGTGTAATACCACCAAATCATAGTACGTGACATCTGGTTTCATACGAAAAAGGGTAAAAAAAAGATATTCCCTTGAATTTGACAGTTGTAGGAAGTTAACCCTGCATTTCATTGCAGAAAAAATTTATGAGTCATAAACATATATCTTGGGTGCTTCAAAGTACCTTTCTTTTTTTATTTGGTGTTTCTATAAAATATTTTGGAAACCTGAGGTTACATGGCTACTAAAGCTTGTACACAGGAACAAAAGGGGTGAAAATTTGATTGGTCAACTTCCAGTGATGGTTATTATCTCATATGCAATGAAATGTTATGTGAAATTTTGTTTGTAGTACTGGACAGGATAAAACTTTACTCATGCCAAGTATTTCTTTATTTGAAACAAAGATAAATTCTGCACAATTTTTTGAAAAGTACCAACTGAACAAAGACTTATAGGCGAAAATCAATGGTGGTATTAATCCTCATGTTCAGGAGGTGTATTTGCAAAATATACAATTTGGGAAGAAATTTCTTCTCAAGACTTGGATATTTTTCACTCTATATTTATTTAAGAAAAAACAGAACTATATTTGAAGTGTTTTTGCATTTAATTTACTCCACCTTTTAAATTTTTTTTGTCATGTATTTCAATAATTGTTATGAAAAATGATATTATTATTTAGCTAGTAAATATAAGGATTGATTTTTTCTTAGATGATTACAGGCGTTGACAGTGTAAGTTTGTTACAGTAATTTGCATCAGTTTGAGGATCAGCTTTTCCCGTACTCAAGAAGTTGCTTCTTTTACACTGTGTTTAAAAAATACCATTGAATATTGATTATCTGATCATAGAAAGCACAAACTTTTGTTATTTACAACTCATTCTCAGAGTAAGATTAAACTGGTTTCCTGTTTGTTAAGTATTAATAGATGGGAAATTAATAAAAAGATTTTATTGATTGGTGTTTAACGCCACTTTGAACACTATTGTGCTATTTCATGGCGGTCAGTTTTTATTGGTGGAGGAAGCCGGAGAGAACCACGACCCTCGGTAGGAAAACTAACAATCCTAGTCAATTAAGATTGGAATCGAGTGCACCTGCCCCGTGCGGTATTCGAACTCACAACCTCAGTGTTGACTGGCTAGAGATACAGTAGTTGAACTACTTAGACCACTGGCCAAAAAGAGATGAAGGTTATAAATCAATGAGACAGGCAACAAAACATAACAGAAAACCAACAACAAAAGATATCCTCTGGAGGTCATTATAATGTCATTGATAATAGACAAAGTCTAAATAGTATGTCAAGTTGTAAAAAATAATTGGGATTATAAAAGATACCATTAACATCTCTGGAGAACAAAGTATTTTGAGATATAACTGACAATGTTCCAGAATTAGGACAGGCACATGGGACAAAGTATTTTGAGATATAACTGACAATGTTACTGAATTAGGACAGGCACATGGGACAATGTATTTTGAGATATAACTGACAATGTTACTGAATTAGGACAGGCACATGGGACAAAGTATTTTGAGATATAACTGACAATGTTACTGAATTAGGACAGGCACATGGGACAAAGTATTTTGAGATATAACTGACAATGTTCTAGAATTAGGACAGGCACATGGGACAAAGTATTTTGAGATATAACTGACAATGTTACTGAATTAGGACAGGCACATGGGACAAAGTATTTTGAGATATAACTGACAATGTTCCAGAATTAAGACAGGCACATGGGACAAAGTATTTTGAGATATAACTGACAATGTTACTGAATTAGGACAGGCACATTGGACAAAGTATTTTGAGATATAACTGACAATGTTCCTGAATTAGGACAGGCACATGGGACAAAGTATTTTGAGATATAACTGACGATGTTCTTGATTTACGACAGACACATGATTATTTGGTGTGACTAGACTGTTTTATTAGGGTTTGAACCCATTCAATGTAGATCAATGAAGAAAAAACTTTAAAATAAAAGTCTACATTTCATGTGAGTCATTATATGACAATCAAGCCAGCTTGATTGCACAATCTTACTTTGAGAATGAGTAGTTGAAAGTAAAAACTAATAATTGAGGTCTTTATACAAATCTCCAAAGGTATTTTTAGATGTAGTGTAAATGGAAAGCTAAGTCAACCTATTTAGAATTATAGATATTCAATATTATTGTACTGAATTGAATTTAAAGACTCACATCAGTCAAGCATATTTTTTTTCAAATACAGTATGAAAACAAAGAGATATGGTATGATTGCCAATGAGACAACTATCTACCAAAGATCAAATGAAGTGGATGTTTATAGCAATGTAGGCATAGTTTGCTAATTTTAATTTCAGATGATTCCATTAATATTGAGTTTTTTTAAATTTTCACACAAAGTTTTAAAAAAAATATTACATCATTTCTTGTGGTGTATATATGAGATTTAAAGTTGACTGTAGAAATCAGTTTATGATAAATTTCAGCTGAATTTAATTTTAAAGTTTATGCGAAAATCATTTTGGATTTACTTTGCAATTAAGTTTCTTGAATTTCATGAATAAGATAAATTTACATGAAATTCCCAAGAAAATTTATATGATTTCCATTGAATTCATAATAGCAGTTGTTATTGCCCCTACATGAATGAGGGTCAGGAGGGGGTTTACAGAATATAGAATAATGGACAAAAGGTGCAAAATAAAGGGGGAGAAAATTAAAGTGTAGAAAATAATGGGCTGCTGAAATATAAAGAATAGAGAATGTAAAAAAAGAAGAGAGAAAAAATGGTCTGAAATGAAGGACCTGCCATCTGGACCCTCATGAATCTGGACAGAATTGACAGTTCATGTGTTTGCTTTTCAGACTAAAAATCCAACATGTAAGATGCAAAATGAATGTACAAAACCCCAAAAGGTTAAGGTAAAATTTACAACGCAAATATCCAAGCATATATGTACATTTTGATAAGTCATTGTCTGCATCTCAAATTGACTTAAATTTTAAGTACTGTTAATTCAGAAGTTATTGAGATTTTTATTAATGCAAATAATGGGACGCCTTGAGTATCGCAATAATAAAATCTCACATTCTGATATCAAATACATATATCAGTACGTAGCTTTTCCTAAAATCTCAATGACCAAACTCGCATTTTTGTTCATTCTTCAAAAATTGAAATAATAAATGCACACAATAATTTCAGAATTTACAGTAGATATGAATTATTCCCCTTTATTGGAAGTGTCACTGGTTTCCTGAAATAAAAAGCCAATGATTAGATTTTGTTGTTCCCTGAATTTGTTATCAAACTTAATGCCGAAAAAAATGTATTTTATGGTATTAAGTACAGCTTCGGTGGATTTTTATCATTTCCAGCAGTCTACCATAGGGAAAAAACACTAACCACACTAATTTGACCTCATTTTTTTGCAAATATTGAATATTGAGTTTTATTTGTTTTTCCAAAGTATTTTAATGTGCAAGTATTATGATGAAAGAAAATAAATGAGATGTCCATATCCCACACCCAGTGGTGAACACAGGGCAGGGGACCATATGAATTTGGTACCCACACTGTGCCAATTTCTATCCTAGACTGCTGGATATGAACAAATTTACCAGAGCTGTTGTGTGATGAATACATTTTCTTTTTGATGAACTTCCACACAACAGAAAACCAGTACTACTCCAAAGTGGAAGGGGGAGTAACTCAGATCAAAATTCATGACATGACTTTTTGATAAGTGCTTTAGTGGGAGAGACATGGCTTTTTGGTATTTTTTTCTTATATTTTGGCTTTAAAACATAGATTTGCTGATGTTTACATTTTAAAAAAAAAAAGATATTTTTTGAGATACAAGGAGTATAAATTTAACATTTTGTACTTTTTTAGCAACTTGTTCCAACAATAAGGATGAGCAAGGTATTTTGCTTCTACGGAAGGTGATTTTAGGCGTTTTTACTTATCATGAGCGAAACAAAAGCAAAAAAAAAAAAAAAAACAGCTCTTTTTTGCTATTCTTGATCTCAAAGCTACAATGAGGCCTTCAGCATGGAGCAAAAACTCTTGTCTCATTTCAATTTTAAGACAGCGCCTAGCACAGGTTTAGTTGGAATTGTTTTGCTAGATGTCATTCATGCTACACCTGTGCACTGAAAGCACAACTGCAGGGTAATAGCAACAAATTATTACATTATATCAAGCAAAGAAATCTAACAAAAAACTGTCCAGCAATCTAATTTATGTGTGGCACACTACACTCTTTAACCAGATTAAAATTTTAGTTGTGTTTTTAAACTGCTTGTAGTTTTATTTTGAACAGATATATCATGTTAAGGAGGGGTATTTGCGAAAAATACCAGTTGAGAGAATGTTAAATTTCGCGAGCCGTAAGGCGAGGGAAATTCATTCTCAAGACTGGTATTTTTTCACAAATACCCCTCAAGAACATGCTATATCTGTTTAATTACACTGAATGTTAACGTACAAAACGCATTGATGATCGTGACATAAAACGCATTGATGATCATGACATAAAACGCATTGATGATCATGACATTACAAGCTTCCAGTCGGATAAAGTATTTTTTGGCAAATACCACAGCAGAGAGGGTAAAAAAGGCATATCCTTTTTGTATATACCCCAGCGCTGTTTAAAAATGAAAGATATTCATTTGATAAAAGTAAATTGGTGAAAAATACTCTGGCTATCAACCAATCAAAACCCAGGATTCTTACATAAGGTGTAATTACATCTTTTATCCCTTTCTATGGTTGTTTAAAAACTCAAATCTGAAGTATTTTGAAAAAAATTTAAAGACGACTCAAATTTGATTGTTAGTTCAGATTCCATGTTTTATTACATATTTTTGTCCCTTATATAAAAATAAGAAGATGTGGTATGATTGCCAATGAGACTACTATCCAACAGAGACCAAAATAGTATAGATACTAATTCTAGGTCTACAGAGAATCTAAAGTTTAAATCAGTAGCATATAACTATCAAAATATTGTCTGCAAAATTAGATAATAAAAAAAAATATTTCTTCATTCTTTATATGCTCAATGAATGAATTTAATTTAGAAGTATAGAGTGCTTGCTTATTTTGGGATCAGCTTATAATATATCATGTATTTATCTTTTCAGATGGAATGGATGTCCCTAGTTACAAATAGCTTTTCCCCTGGGCTTTTTTTCCTAAGGAAATCTAGAATTTGATACCTGATCTTGCTTTCAAAGTACCAAACTTTTTTGGCATTGAGTGTATATACCTGGTGAAGGTTTCCCATAATAATGTGTTATGCACGTTGAAGTCGGTAATAAGTATGGTGCAGAAACCTTAATGATTTAATCAATCTTATTGTTACCTGGTCTATAAATAGTTAACCTATCTATCTCCTTATAGAAATAGAAAAAATTGTTTTTTGATTTTTTCAGGAGAATGGTGAAGAAAAATGTGTTATTGAAACTCGCAGCCGTAGCAAGTCTGACTGTAATGGCCATTGTACACAAACTTGTACAGTTACACCGATCAAACTAGACAGCTGTACAGGAGACATAACCATTGATCAACCGTCAGGTAAGTGTGTACACAAACTTGTACAGTTACATCGATCAAACTAGACAGTTGTACAGGGGATATAACCATTGATCAACCAATCAAACTGGACAGCTGTAAAGGGGACATAACCATTCATCTACCAATCAAACTGGACAGCTGTACAGGAGACGTAACCATTGATCAACCAATCAAACTGGACAGCTGTACAGGGAACATTTAGTATGGATCACCCAATAGCACATATCAAAAGACATCTAGAGGCCAAATTATTGTTTGCAACAATAGGAAAGTAATACACATGTAAAATTTAACAAGTTTGGTATACAGACATGCCTGGATCATATTTGCCAAAGAGAGGCCAAGGATACTAAAGGGACATTTAAATTCAAAGTAAAAAATAACCTGACAACTCCATGGCTTCAAAAGAAAAAGACAAACATCAGTACACAAAACGCAACATAGAAAACCAAAGACTGAGCAACACAAACCTCTACCAAAAACTGGGGGTGATCTCAAGGGCTCCAGAAGGCTAAGAAGATCCTGCTCCACATGTGGCACCCCTCATATGCATGTTGCTCATGTTAGTACAAACCTGGTGATAAGTCTAATTTAGTAAGTCACATTTTGGATTGTATTTACAATTATTGGAACATATCCATTGCCATCTGTGAAACGGATATTCCATAACGGTCAACCAACTTGTGATGGTGTCTGTATAATTTACGAAGAGACAATTTCAACTTCACCACTTAAAACTCTTGGTTTAATATCTTCCTTGTGAGCAGCAACCCTCTATCAAGGAAATCATTTAGTAATGAGAAATTAGGATAACAGCCTGATGAAAAATATGTTTACAGGTATATTTCAGGATGGCAAATAATAAGGGTAAATAATGTTCTGTAAAAAAGTTGCAGTCTTCTCGTTGAGGGGATCATTTGCAGAAAGGATGAAAAAGTGTTTTTAATGATTATGAACAAGTAAAAGATTTAAGTAATTTTGATTTTTAAATGTCTATTATTATCACTTTTGGTGATATATCATAATATGTGAATTAAATATGGTGCAAAACTATCACTAATGTTTATACACTTAAAACTCTGATTCCAAAGAGTTATGATATGCAAAAAGGAAACACTTCAAATTGGCACTGGACCCATTTGAAGAAGCTTTTGCTTTGTCACAACTTCTGGTCCAGAAGAAGAACACTTCAAATCACATTTTCCCAAATAATTTTGTGAGGCATATCATGAAAACATTGTATTTGTATGATTAAAGATGGATAGAAAAAAATCTTAAGTATTTAGATACTACTCAAAACTGAAAACATCCATCATAACAATAAACAGGAACATGCAATCTTTGGAACATACAATCTTTGGAACATGCAATCTTTGGAACATACAATCTTTGGAACATACAATCTTTGGAACATACAATCTTTGGAACATACAATCTTTGGAACATGCAATCTTTGGAACATACAATCTTTGGAACATGCAATCTTTGGAACATACAATCTTTGGAACATGCAATCTTTGGAACATACAATCTTTGGAACATACAATCTTTGGAACATGCAATCTTTGGAACATACAATCTTTGGAACATGCAAGATTGCATGTAAGAACATTAAAGACCTGCAGTGTAAAACTAAAATGTGTGTGTAAACAGTCGAAAAAGCATGCATTATTCACAAAAAGTATGTGAGTTGGCAGCTTACATTACCAAGGCTTGGATCACTTAAAATAATAATTACTCATGCACTTTATGAGTTTTGTATTTAAGAATGCTTATTTTCATTAGTTTCAGATACCCAATGTTCACAGAAAGGACCAAATCAACCATACCCTAATTCAGAAGAGCCTGTCTGTATGTATTAGTTGTCTGCTTCTTAATGTTTTTTTTTCTATTTATTCAGTGGACTCAACTAAACTGCCTACCTGTTACTTGTATAATCGCAATAATTAAACTGGCATTTTTGTTAATTCTTCAACAATTGCAATACTAAATGCACGCAATAATATCTGAATTTACAGTAATCAAGGCGACACACGTTTTGACAACTTAAGTTTCATTAGTGATGCTCAAGTCCAAATAGTTGGAAGGCCAAATCAATTACAAAGTTGAAGAGCATTAAAATTCCAAAGCTTTATGCCAAACCTGGCTTTACATGTATATAGGCCTTCTATGCGTCAGGAAGAAAAATTGAGTGTTTCAAACGATTGTGATGCTTAACAGCAATTCCAGTTCATTGCATGGAAAAACTATTGAATGCAAAAGTGCGTAAAATATGTTAGTAATTTTTTGCACTAAATCACATTTTACATAGCAATAAAGAAATTTGTACCTGTACAACCAATGTTTGAAGCTATTGCTCATTGAATGGAAATACCAGAAAAATTATTGAATGCATAATATTGTGTACAAAAAAGCCAGTACTTTTTTGCACTAATTCTGATTTACAATAAAGAAATTTGGACTGACCAAACTTATATTTTACCAAACATTTGACCATGATTTATTATAAGCATTATATCCTCTGCTAAATTATTGTGAGACAGAGTTGGTAAATATTGGCATAAGTAAATATGTACAGATGAATATCTTTGTTTAACCGAAGTCAGGGGTTTAAATTAGTGTGGGTCCGAGGTCCTTTTCATTTTTAAATTACAAAAGTCAAGGACCTACCATTCTCTATGCTGATGCTTTATACAGAACCTGCAGAACCATTGAATTTCTTATGGAGGACCTCTCACTGAAAATTTCAAATGGTCCTGGACCTTTCATTATTCAAAGCAAATTTGAACCCCCAGAAATCCTTTCACTAAATTTTTATCTTTCAGTTTCAGCAGATTTCAGCAGTAAACTTGATGAAGTCAGTGATCACTATATGAAGCAAGGTCTTTGTGAAGGAGAGGAATGTAGTCAGTTGAGAGTCCAGGTAATAACCTTGAACTTTGTGACCTATGACAGCTTTTGATATTTTTGTATGAAGTTAAATGTTCGTTATCTGACAGTAATTTTGTATGAACACTGATTTATAATTTCTTCAAATTTTCCATTAATTATAATCTTCATACTTCACTAAGCACAGTGTCACATTTATAAGTGGAAGAAAAACTAAACATGTACAGTACTTCATTTTAAGAGTTATCTTTTCATATACTTTGTATATGCTGACTTTATCACTAAATTCTTTTTTATTCAATAAGATTTTAGAATAATTTCATTTCTTTATTCATGTTTGTTTATGAATTAATATTATTGTAGTAAATAAACCATTTTTTAAGACGTTTCGGCCAATGAATTTTGAAACAAGAATATAAATTAATAATCATTGGAGAAACTTTTACAAAACTATTCTAGGTAATGCTAAACTATGTGTTACTCTCCTCACAGAAATCATTCATCATTTATGCTAAAATATGTATTGAAATTATTCCAGAATAATTTTTAAATTATGAAAGAATTGTTTGACAGTTATAACAAAAATAATCTTTACATTGCATTTATTGGAATACAAGTATGAATATTTTAGCATTATATATGGCTTCATGCTTAAATATTTGAGTAACAATTCTAACAAAATTACCTAAATAAGAATCTTGCTAATATGTGTATGCCAATTCTAACAAACAATTACATATATGAATCATGCTAATATCTGTTTTATATATAACATTTCCAACTAAATTTTTATCTTAGAATCATGATAATATGTGTGTGACTATTCTAACAAAAATTATTTCAGTGTTTAATTCCAATGAAGACCCATACTGGTTTGGTAGCACACATAGTTACTCCTCCCAAACTTTTCATTCGCCCGGTCTCGCTGCACACATCACAGTGCATGGTAATAAACTGTTGTTGTTCTGTTGTTGTTTTTCTTTTTACTTTTGTTCGTCACATATGGATCATTTTCACTATATCTATATATATCTGTTTATACAGTTTATACATGTATATTCATCTGTTTCTTTATAGAAGTAGGTCGCCTGGTCCTCCTGGCCATGTTTCGCCAAAGATTGTTTATACATCTTACACTGTCGCTCAATTGCACTTTGATTTTCAACCTGTTCATAGCAGGAGAGGGGAGAAAGTGGTCAATACTTTAAATGATTCCCAGTGCTCAATCACCCTTTGGAGTGGAACACCTTGTAAAATGAGTTTAGCTACTGTTTTCAACTTTTTTTTTCGAATTTTTTCGGAATTTAAGGCATGATTTGAATGAGCTGCCCATCATGGGCAAGTACTATGAAGAATTGACAGAATTTGGTCAAGCAGTAATGCATAAAAAAGGGTAGATTATTTACTTTGTGAAAGAAATTGGTCCTGGTCCAATAATTTTACGGGTGATATTTAATTTCAGAAATTATAAGAAACAAATTTCTTTTAGGTTAAGGCTTTTTTTCCAATCTTATATTCATTTTTTTGCTAGAGATCAGACTGAACATATTGACAGATATTTGTTTTAGGTACAGTTTGCATTGTACGGAATACAAAAAACACATGTTTTCTATAGATCACTATTGACTTATTTTGTTCAGTTATAGCTTTTAGTTTAAATATAAATATGTATAGTTGTCATATGTGTTTAAATGATGCAAAACTTATATGGGTTCCAAATATCAAATCAATTAGTCGCCATAAGTCGATATCTGTTTCACAAATTTTTTAATGATTGTATCTCGGAACGTATACATGTGACATGCATTGCTTTTAGAGTATTAAAGCCACATGAGCCAGTAGCCAGCATAAATCCTCCTGCCGGACTTTCAGGTGCCGGCTTCTTAAATGCCAAAAATTAAATTGAAAATTACTGTAGACGGTTATGATAGTGTTGATTAGTCAGCATCAACTAAGTGAAATACTGTTGTTTTCAGAAAAAATTCAATATAAAAGATTTCCTCAAACAGAATATATGGCGTAATGTAATTTTTCTTTTTTTTAACATTATATTTGCATGTCTTCTGAAATTTTTCAAACAGCATACTGGTATAGAGGTATTAAAAAAGAAACTTGCTGTTCTAATTTATGGCATCGGGGTAAACCAAATTTTTCTTAATTGTGTAACAGAAAGTTATTTCTGATAAGCATCATGCTATGAGTTCACAGAGAGATCCCTGTATGTTTACATGTTTACAGGAAATACACAATGTATTTTCTAGTATGACTCTTGCTTTTAGTTAGTTTTTAGTTGAAGGTAGTATGGAGTGTTTCTCAATCTTAGAGGACAAATGATTTGTATAAATTTTGACTAACATAAGTAAATGTTGAGACAGTTATATCATTTGAACTTTGTGGTAAAGTTACTTTTTTTTTTTTTTACAAATACAGATCAACTTTTAATGTACAGATAAACTTTTCAGGTACAAAAATGTCAACTTATTAAATTCTTTTTTCTTTTTGACACAATCTAGAAATTTCCCTTTTTTCCCAAAATCGATTCCTATTTTCACTTCTTTTCTGGTAATTCATGCATGCAAAATGGAACTTTTGCAATTTCCACTGCTGTGACACCTCTTTCACTTGAGTGTGGTCAATTAAATTACAAATTTGACAAAATAATTTAAATTAGCAGAAATAGGATTCATAGTCTTTTCTAATGACACAAAATGCAATTTCTATAATAATTTTGTTGAAAAAGGCTATAAAAAGATTTAGGGACGCCATTAATGTGTGAGATGGATTTAGGAGGCAGGAAACAGACATATATAATGTTTTTAGTCTTGTGTTACAAGAAAACAAGTATAGTTATCCTTTTTTTGTTATTTTCTTTTTTTTATAGTACGTATTAAAAGCTTTCTTCTCATATTTTATTCTATTATATATTTTTCTTTTTCGTCACATCATATTGCTGTTAATTAATCATGATTATTAAAATTGAAAAAATATGAGAATTTTACTCAACCTGTTGTTCATAAAAAAAAAATCAAAGGACTTGTATTTATTATTATATTTTTTGTAAAACGACATAATTTAAAGTACTTTATGGGAGTACCAAAACAAATCTCAGTTTTGATTTTTACTGCTGTACTACCTTCAGATGAAACTAATGGAAAGTTTTATTTCAATGGGTGATTGGTTCTATAAACAAGAAATATTACAGTTGTTTAATTTTTTGCATGAGTTTCTTTTTTTTTTTCATTGTTCTCTTCCACAGAGTTATCTCCTATTGAACTTTTGTAAGTTCTATTTTCCCATTGAATAAATACAGTAGCTATTGTTGTCGGTTTAGTTTATTCACTGGGACCTTTAAATTTCTTCTAAGAGAAATCCATCACTCATTGATTAATTTACCTGAGTAAAAAAAAAATCTATTATTGAAAATCTATTATTGATATTGAATAAATACAACATCACATGTAGTTTTGTGAGTTAAAACATGTATTTTCTTCCTTTAGAAGATAATTTTTTTACTCAGGTAAATTAATCAATGAGTGATGTATTTCTCTTAGAAGAAATTTAAAGGTCACAGTGAATAAACTAAACAGAGAACAATAGCCATTGTATTTATGCAATTGGACAATAGAACTGACAAAAGTTTAGATAGATTGACCAATAGGAGATGACTCTGTGGAAAAGTTTCATTTGGTTCGCAATAACAGTATTTATTTTTGTTTACTTTTATTTTATTATTGAAAGTCAGTTTATTAATAATATAATAAATATCAGAACACAAAGTATAATACGTAGAAAAAATGAAGGAATTTAAAAAAACAAAAAACATAAAAAAAAACAAGACACTGCATTTAACTTGACCAACTGGCATCAACCTCCCTGTCCAGTTTGATTGATTTATTTATAAATACAAAGCAGGATTTATAATCATACCATGTTAACATGTTCTGATCCTGATGATGCATTTTATATGTTATTGGATTTGAAACAATCACATTGTATTTAAATAGGCTTTAAATTATGAATTCATGTTTACTGTCAATATAAGGAATGCATGCATATATTTGATAATTCTAGGCAATAAGAAAGTGTTTTGGCACTGTCAAACTTACAAAATTAGTATTCAGATCTTGATGGAACATTACAAATACAAATCATTTGTAGCCATCACATAGCTTTTGTTAATTGAAACAAAGGTAATATTATCAGCTTTTTTAAAAGCAAATAATTAACACTGCATACAATTACTGCAGCTTAATTTAGTTTTCTGTTTTATGGTGCATAGTATAAATCAAACAAATACTACTTATGCTTCTAATTTTGAGGACAAAGCTTTCAAGTTTTGGGGTGTAATGTTGTATTAATTTATCATTCATTCTTTATTTTATTCATTGTTACCTCTAGCAGCAAGGAAACCAAAGACCACACATCAAGTTGGAATTCGTTGATGGAGTTCTACATCAGAAGTTCATCTTCATGCAGTCCAAGGACGAGGTCAATGTTGATTTTGATGTTTGTGTCATTTTTAATGACGGAACAAAAACTCCTGGATGTGATAAACCTGAATTCAAAACTTATGTAAGTATCTAAAATTAGAATACTTAATGGTTTGGTATGTAGTCCTGATGGAGGGAGGATATATATAGATTTTAGACGTTAGCACATTTATTTATTTTTAAGAAAGTATTCCTTTTATTTTATATTACCCTTTATTTCAAGATCACAATTTTCTCTTCAAGTTCAATGGTTCATTGAGCAAGGTCCAAAGGTCCAATTACAGATGTATAAATTTGTCTTATAAAACATGAACAAAATTGAAAATATGTTGTGTAGGTTTAACAATTCTGTATTTTCAAAATTAAAGATGGCAGAATTGGAAATAAAATCAATCAGCAATTTAAACTAATTATTTAATGAGTTTAATTCATTTTTTTTCATAGCGGCCTCAACAATAGGACAGGGGTTGGTAATTTTGATGTATTATCTATAATTTCACCATACCTGTCAATACAAGTTGCAGATTGCTATCGATAGCAAATTACTTTTTTAAACAATTCTGTTTTTATGCCCCATCTACAATAGTAGAGGGGCATTATGTTTTTCGGTCTGTGCCTCCGTTCGTCCGTCTGTCCTGCTTCAGGTTAAAGTCTTTGGTCAAGGTATTTTTTGATGAAGTTGAAGTCCAATCAACTTGAAACTTAGTACACATGTTCTCTATGATATGATCTTTCTAATTTTAGTGCCAAATTAGAGTTTTGACCCCAATTTCACGGTCCACTGAACATAGAAAATGATAGTGCGAGTGGGGCATCCGTGTACTATGGACACATTCTTGTTATCTATAAACCTGGAATCTGATGAATTTATAAAATTTTATGAAATCTTATGATCAGAAAATGGTTATTCGATGGCAAAAGATATAAAAAATACTGTTCTTTCTGGCATTGAAAAACCAAGAGGAACCAGTTGTTTGTGTATAAGAAAAGACTGATAATTGGAACAATTTTGCTGATATTTGTGCATTTTATAAATAGGATACATAACAATTAAATAATATAAGTCACCTCAACATTTTAATTGCAAAATGAAATTGAAGCTACTAAATTAATGAAGATTTGTTTGTTCAATTGAATAGATACAGAAAGATTTTTGATAAGACTAATATTTAATGAGAGGTCAATAAACAATGAATAGCAATGGTATGGAAGCACAGTAAACATATGCCAGAGTTTTGAAAAATGAAATGTTATATTCAATTTATTGAACAAATAGGAGTGTTTTTTCCCAATTGATTTTGGCCTAGGTTGTCTTTGAATTCTTATGCAGGCTAGAACTGATATAAATGCAAATACTTACAGTTCTTTTTGGCTGTCAATTTAAACCACATTAGCCTGCAATTTTAAATATATGATTTTAAAGGAAAACAAATTTGAAAAGGAAACTATTAAGTTCAAAAAGGTAAACAATAGTCAAGAAATACAAAACCAAAAAGTGGCAAATCTTTAAAGAAAAGTTTAACCTTTGAACTGAAACGTTTCATCTTTTTGATTGACAGGTATGACCTACTGTTGTAATGTGAGATTGTTTTAGATTTATTTTTATTATTATTACTTTTTTATTGTCTTTGTTTTTCAACTAGGTGCCATATTTGGCTATGAATTATGGGATATGTCACATGCTTGTATGATGTTTTATGCCATTCATTCTCAATAAGTTCTATTAAATTTTCTGGATGTGTCATTCATCACTTCAGTTTCTAAATTTCTCTAAAAATTCTCAGACTTCTTAATCTCAGTTTTGTAAATTGATTTTATATGTATTTTTAGTACAGGACCAATAAAGAAGAATTTCAAAATGACTATATTAACTTTACTAATTTTTACTCTGAATTAATGATTTTAATAAATGTCACTATATTTTTCTGAGAACAATGTCTTAATATAGGAACAATAACTGTCTCCTCTTATTTTTATTTCAAACTTTATAAGAGTTACTTCCCTTTTACTTTGTTTTTCAACATGGATTTTGGAAAATCAAAACTGAGATTTGTTTTGGTACTTCGCCATAAAGTACTTTAAATTATGCTGTTTTACATAAAATAATGAGAGGGAACAATTTATGTACTACCATTTTCACCAAAAAGTCTTACAACAAGAATATGAAATTCAGAAAAAATTCTCAGTTAGTCCCAGAGGGTACCACCAGCTCAGTAGCCAGTACTTCGTTACTGACATGAAAATATGGATATTGTGTTATAAAAATTTGCTGTAACAAAATTTTGAAATTATTTGAAATTAAGAAATATATCCCTCATGCAAAGCTCTTGATTCCTTGCTTGGCTTTGGCTATACTTTTTGTCCTTTTTGGTTTAATTAGCTCTTCAATTTTTTTAAATAAAGTTTGGATTTTCTAATATTTTGGCAAGGAATATCACTGAAGAGACATTTTTAGCCGAAATACAATCTGGTGCAGTAAAATTGGTATCGTTAATGTTATTACAGTGAGATGGTATGGTACATATATTTTTACCTTTAAAATTTCCTTACTGTGGATTATTTTTATTCATGGAAACTATTTTTGTGGATTGAGAAAAAAAATGTGGATATTTGATTTTGGGGTTCTGACAAATTCTGCATAGGAAATTTTCAACTTTGTTGAACACTTTTATTTTTGTTTCACTAAAACCCACAAAATCCATATCCCAAGAATAATAATGAATCCACCATTGATTCACAGTTTATAAATAGAATGGGTTATTTGATATAGGTTATATTTAACTATACTCCAGTTACAAGAATAAATACTCAAAGGTCATTATTTAGTCTGCTATCAATGTTATATGTTTTGACAGAAATTATTTGCATTTTATTTTTTTCCCGCCAGATTTTCATAATTGATTTTAACAATCGAAGCAGAGTCCTCTTTAGATTTAATTTGTTTGAGAATTTTTAAAGTGTACAAGATACACAAGAATTTATCACAAATTATTTTTTTGTATTTCACAGTAAGGTGTCAAAGTTTATATTAACCGAGTTTTCTTAAATAAATTTAAGTGATTAATTTAACAAATATGAGGTTTAACTTTGTGAAAAGTCTGCTTTCATTGATGTTTGTTAGTTACATTTAAAAAAAAAAAAAATTTATGTGCCTGCAGCGGCAAAGGGGTCGTTAAGTTTTACCTATGTCTGTCTATACATCCGTCTGCTTATAAATTATTGCTTATCACCACAAAATACAGATCAAGTTCAAATTTGGGTGGTGTCACTTTAACCCTTCTAGAGTTATCTTTATAAATGGAATAATTGCTGCATTTTTTGTGTCCATTCTCTAATTTTAGTTTGTCTCAACCAAATATTATGAAACTTATACAAAATGCTAATTACCATAAAACACAGATCAAGTTTGAATTTGGGTGGCGTCACTTTTACAGTTCTCTAGTTATGGCCCTTTATAATGTTTATATGCACGTGATGGCATCATCTGTGTCCGATGGACAACTTCTCCATTTATTTACATCAAATATGAGGGAAAGTTTTGAAAGTGAAATACCAATGTCACCTAGTTGTATCTGTGTATTGGCAATGATTCTAACATTCTTAGTGAACTAAAACCACTATCTTTAAAGTTCTGTTAAAAACAATTCTTGCTATTTTACTTATACCAGGCCAACAATGTTTGGGTGCAGATCATGTAGCTGTTTATCTGTATGTTCTCTCATATAAGAACACATTTTTACACTTTTTTTCCACCCAGCCCCTAAAGGTCCCTTTGAGATAACTTTTGGTAGATTTGCTATTCAAGAGTTTTAGCCAATGCTGTTCAGACATAAATTAAGTAGATTCTATTGAGAACTTCTTTAATAGACACCAAACTACCATTTCTTAATAAAGCAGACAATCATGGAAAAAATATATTTAATAAATAAAGATAATCATATAGCTCTTCATGTTATTTATGTATTTATACATCCTTGGCTTTCAAATATTTGGCCTCAAGCATTCCTGATGAAGTCAAATCCAGAAAAGCGCTTTGGATGCATACAATTGATGAAGTGTTATTTTTCATTTTATATGATTAGGATAAAACAAAATGAAGATACCCCTAATTTAGAATTTTGGATAATGTTACCCTTAAATTTTGTCCTTCATGGGACACAGGAAGGATCTGTTGATCAAATAATTCCATTTATTTAGCACAGTATAATAAATCACATATCAATATGCCTAAATCAGGTTTCCATAATTTTCTAATCTGTATGTAAAAATCAGTTACAAGCTGTATTCACATAATAGTTTAAGGCCAGTAATCAAATAGTCACTTGAAAAAAAGAAATAATAATCTCACAATCATGACTCAATTAATTGGTTCTGAAGTTAGTTATATTTCACTCAATGTTAAATATATTCCTAGAAATGTGATATATGTACTGTGTTCAGATACAACTGTTAGTGTCTTCTTGCAAGTTGAAACTGTTGGTCAGATTAAAACATGTGTTTATGAGAAAGATGTATTATTTATATTTTCAGAAGAAGATTCATAATTACAATGTAATTGAATTATTTGTACCATGTGATTTCAGAGAAGGTCATGACCTTTTACATCACAGAGACTTAAGATTTTCAAGTTAAAGCTATGATGTAATACAGTAAATTCCAAAAATTGTGGGTGCATATCTATATTGGTGAATGTTATACAAATGACAAAATATAGTTAATGGTGAATGTTATATAAATGACAAAAAAATTAAAGATTTATATTTATTTTAGCGAAAACCAATCAACCCATAAAAATATACTAATCCACTGTATTGTTAATACAAGAAGTAGAAATATATCTTTGCAGTTCTCATCTGATGAAAGATCAGCATTTGCCAATTGCACTCTTTTACTAGTTTAATTCATGTGATTTTTGAAAGGTCATGACCTTTGAACTCATGTGCCATGTTACTAATTTTGTTCTTCCTTGATTTTGTAAACAGATATTGATCAGTAAATATTTTTCTATTACATGTTTTATTTTTGTTTATCTCCATTTTGAAAAAAAAGGAGGCAGCCATTTTGGAAGGATTTGATATTCTTGATTTTTGGCTTGTCTTGGCAGAATGTGAGACATAGGGATGCTAATTGGACATCTTAAGATGTATATCTAGATGTCTAAAGTTTTGAAGTTTTTCTCTATCATATGTTCCATTGTCCTTGACCACATGGTTTATGTAAACGAAACCTGCGTCTGGGGCACAAAATTTTCATCCTGGTATCTATGATGAATTTATTTAGCTACTGCTAAAAAACTTTAAAATAAAAGTTTATTTTGTTACATGCATTTTTTTACTTGTTTTGATTAATAGGTCAATTATATTTAGTGTATGGAATGATTGTAAGAGAAACATGTTGTTGCAGCAGTTGTATGACCTTGACGTCATTGCATGGTTTATGATTGTTCATTCGGTGTTGATTTTTCTGGTTGTATTTGTTTCTCAGATACTTTAAGCAATAGGACAACTATGTTTGGTGAATGGAATGATTGTACAGGGTACATGTACATGTCCATCTGGCAGGTTCATCTGACCTTGACCTCAATTATATGGATCAATTGTAATGTTTTACAGTATATTTAGTACTTATAGTAAAACCTTTTATCTTAAAGATTTTCAACCACTTTGAATTTAACATTTATGATTATCTTCATTCAACATGATCAAATTATTTGCAATTTCCAGTTTTGAGTTTTTTGATTGCAGATATATAGTTTTGAGAAAATCATGTCTGAAAGAAATATTGTGGTTACAGCCCATTGAAATGCATATTCATAATAGATTTACATTCTGAGCTGGATTTTAGATATGACAATTCTCAGTCGGACATATGACTACATGCCTTACAGTCAATACCTATTTTATTAGTTATTGGTTTGACACTACCAGGGATCAAAGTTGTGACATCTGGCACTCAAGGAGAGCATGCTATAAGACACTGAGTAGTTTTGCAAATGGGGGGAAACCTATGTTTAACAAAAATCGAAAGCAAAAATTAAAAAAATTATTGCATGTAGGATAGGGGTATAACACTAAGGAGCTTGATCAGTAAAGTTTTTTTTTATCTTGTAAGATTTATGAATATATATGAATCTATCAATACAGAATTATTTTTTATCATTTGTTATTTAACCTAAGCATGAGAAGGACACCAACTCTTTGTGAGATAATAATAAACTTGTACAAAAAAAAATGCCTCTTTAATACATATACATATATATAGATATATCATCTGTTGTGCGATATTCCTCTGCTCAAGAAAGTTAAGTTTCTCATTTTCATATAACTAACCAGCTAAAATCCACAGTACCATAAATTACCATTTTATAAACAAGACAATTTGACCCACATATGGTGAACATTATTTTTTTTTATCTCAGTTCTGAGAGTTTTATAAAAGCAACCACTAATGGCACCCATAATTATAGCTTGGATGAACGATGGATATAATACTGTCGATAGGATACTTACTCAGTGGGTTAATTGTAATTTGCTCACCTGATTAGTGAAGGGCAGGAAGTCTAAGGTCTTGCTCACCTTGAGTGCAGGCGGTCTAAGGTCTTGCTCACCTGAAGTGCAGGAAGTCTAAGGTCTTGCTCACCTGGAGTGCAGGAAGTCTAAGGTCTTGCTCACCTGTAGTGCAGGAGGTCTCAAGTATGATTGGAGGTTTAGTCAAATCAAAGACTTCAAAACTGGTATTTGAAGCTTTTCTGTCTAACATGCCACTTATACCTATTAAGTGAAAATTCTTTAAGTTCTGGTTAAATTTTACTCACACATGAGGCTTATTTATGGTAAATTATCAACAGTGTACCATAGATACTTGCTGCAAAATACAATGTCTACATGTATTCAGACATTTTGAGGCAATGTTTGAACTGTATTTGTTTTGTTTTGTTTTAAAATGTTTTAATGTTTATGCTGACATTGGAATAAAGGTGAGTTTATGAACATAGAGTGTATGAGACAACTTATCAATTACTTAAATCTTCAGATGAAGTCTTCTAAGATACTATTACTTGTTTTTGAAAAACTAAATAATTAAACATTTTATGAGATGTAAGTTGTGATGAGTTTTGGATAACCTTTTATGTCTAGAAAATTTAGTTATGCTGTAAAAAAATAAATCGATTTAAAATTGGATAAAGAAAAAAAAGTATAAGATTAGAAGTCTTGCTCATTAGAATTATTTAAGAAACATGATTTATCGACAACTTTGATGTCATACTTTTTTGGAAGAGGTAGACATAGCTGTAGGATAAGGGACATAACTCTTTAAAATCACTGGTAAGTTTGTGTCAACCATTCTCATAAATATATTGTAAGCTATTTAGTAACACAGAATATTTTAATGGAAGCTCACAAAGAATTGAGGAATCCTGACTACAATGTATTACTTTTAGGAATTATCTCCCTTGACCCAGATCTAGAGTCTTAAGGCACTTTGTACTGATAAGGATAAAGAATTTATTTGTTTCACATTTTATCATATCAGGGCTTTTTACAGCTGACTATACAGGGGACCTATATTTCCTTAAATCCATTTCATGTGAACTCTCATTGCCAATTATTTGACATCTTCTTACTTTATATTTAAAGGTCAGAACAACTCAGGGAACATTCCACTAAATCATTTAGCATATATACTGAATTTTTAAACAACTTTCTATGGAACAATCAGCAATTGACCAGCAATTGACCAGCATAGTACTGACTTGGTACAGGAAGCTTCAAATGAAAGTTGTGCAATGAAATAGGTTTTATGGCACACTTAACCACTGCCCTTCTTTACCCTTACTTTGTATTGGAGCTTTTGAATAAAATTGGTGGACTGAACCAAGTTTTACATTGCTCAAATTCTGCCATTAGTTTTTCTTAATTTATGGTTCTATATATTTATGAAAAATTAGGAGATGATTGCTTGTTTAATTTTTTATTCAAATGTAGGGAGGTGTTCTTCATGATGTAGGATTTGGATTTAGATTTATGTCAAGGTTAAATTATTGGTTTCTATCTATTTTTAGTTAGAAGAATTTGATAAGCACAAAGAAGGACTTGAGAATTTAGAATCTGCTCTGCTGCAACATTTGAATAGTAAATGTGCTTCTAAAAAAGCAAAAGAAAAAGATGAAAAGAAATCTGCAAAGTCTCCTGAAGGTCCTGAAGTTAATAAAGAAACTAAACGTCGACAGAGTAGATCTAAAAACCCACAGGAACCAAATATTCATGATGGGAAAGAAGTTAAAATGGAACCAGTGGAACAGTTACCAGATTCAGAACTTCCAGGTACCAGTTCAGTTATTTTCCAAAAAAATAGTTCAGTCTACATACATGATATATATCCTATTTAGAGTATGAAAAACTGTAGTACTTGACAATAAACAATTACTGATTCAAATATCATACATAACCTTTTATGATCATGCTTTGAAAAATCACTTAAAAGGTTTTATCTACAGCAAAACATTTAATTTATGTGTCAGATATTTGTAATATTTTCATATTCATGTTCAAAGTTTAAATATCATGAATTTTTAATTGAGTTATCAGATGATTACCTCTTCAAAATGATTTTATAAGACAAAAAACATGGGCCATTATTGCCTTTGAGGAAGCTTCTTACAAAAGCCAAACAGAAAATATTGAAAAGTGTAAACCAAATTGTTTTATCAGATACTTTTTTCTTGTATAGCCCTTTCTAGCCGAATTTGTGGCATTTTTTTTTTTAAATTTTCTTACTTTGTTGATGTTTTCATATATAAAAGGAATTTCAAGTTTTTTTGAGGTTTTTAACATATTTTGCTAGGATATATATTTGTTTGTTTTTCTACTAGTCAAAGTCAGGAAAATTAGTTGGTATACACAGGGATCTCCAACAACCTACACAATCCCCTCTTTTAGAATATTTGTCTTTTTCTTTTTCTGTCTCTGGACTGCTCTATTTCATTGTTACATCCAGTTCATTAAAAAACACTTATTTGTCTGTTTCAGATACAAGCTATTAGATTGGGCAAATATATCATATGGTCACAACCCCTCAATATAAACTAATTTATCTGTTTCAGATACAAGCTATCAGATTGGACAAACATATCATAAAGCTACACCCTCTTGATTTTAATTTATTTGTCTATTTCAGATACAAGCTATCAGATTGGACAAAGATATCATATGGCCACACCCACTACTATGGATTGTAACAACCTACCAAACATAAAGTTTAGTGAGTTTACCAGTACTTTCCTGTCAGTCACAGCTAAGCAAGTGGAGTAAGTATCACATTCTTGAACAAGGATTCTTTAGAAATCTTTATTGTTATATTGGGATATATTCTAAACTGTATCTTAATTGGATAATAAGCAAAAATAAACCACTGACACAAATTACACAAGTCTGGCTACTGTATCTTTATGCCCAAAGAAAGCCACTGGAATTAAAATTTGTTTCTTGAATAAATCATTAAACAAGTATTGTTTTGTATGTTGAGACCCCCTCATGAGAACTGTTTAAGCAAAAACATCTAAATTTTTGTGAGATCAGTCAAACCTTGTGTTTAGAGAGAAGTGACTTTATAATGGAGTCAACCTTAGAATAGAGGTGATCTTTTAAATTGAATTGACTGTAGTAATAATTAAGATAATTTGAAGTTTATTAATTTTTTTATAATTTCAGTTTAAGGAAGCATATAGATTTTGAAACAGTTATCAGACGATACTATGAGGAGCCTGTCTGTATGACGGAATTCTCTAGCAGTCTAGAATTAGATAACTTACCTGGAATGATTAACAGAGACAATCTTCAATACCAGCCTGAGTCAGGACTGAGAGAGGTAATATTTACAGTACTGCTTCTATTACTGTAGATTAATTCAAGTTAGCCTTAGATTAAAAATCAACAATACAAGTTGCTACGTGTTTGCCAAGTACATGTAGGATTTTGTGTCATTACTACACCATATTATTTTTATGCCCCGCCAAAGCGGAGGGGGCATTAAGTTTTACCCTTGTCTGTCTGTACGTCCGTCCGTATGTCCCAAAATTGGTTTCCGTTCTCTTACTTTAGTTTGCCTCAACCAATGTTAGGAAACTTATACACAATGCTTATTACCATAAAACACAGATCAAGTTTGAATTTTGGTGCGTCACTTTTTTCCTATTATCATCATTATATTTGTTTAATATCTGTTATATACACTACTGGCAGACGGTAGTATTTCATGTTTCACAGAAATAACATTTTGATTGTTTCTAGATATGACATGCAAAACTATATTAATACATGTATGATTTTTATGCCCCTACCATAAGCAAAAGGGGCATTAAGTGTTACCCTTGACCTTCCGTCTTTCTGTTTTTCTGTCTGTCCCATTTCATTTCCCAATTGCACTTAAGTTTTCCTCATCCAAATTTTCTGAATCTCATTCACAATGCTATGAACCAATACTTGCAGACATAGTTCAAATTTAGGCAGTGAGTCACTTGCGGTTCTAGAGTTATGCCCCTTTTTAACTAGGAAAATTCCAAAGCTTGAGCGTGGGGCATTCGTGTCATCAGACACAATCTTCTTTTATTTGAATATCATATATGGTTTTAATTGTGTATGAATTTAAAAGATTGAGAATTGTGATCTCACAAATCGTTTCACCCTACTGAATAGTAATGTTTATGTACGTTTTGGAAGACAGGAAACTCCCTAACAATTAATTAGATACATAAAAAAATCTCTTTATTTACAAATGATTTTTATGGTTGTTTTGAATATTTTAGGTTTTACAGAAACTTGGAGGGGAACCAGCACAACGTGTTGAAGTGATTGGAACCAGGATTGCAAACGCTTTGAAAAAGGTATCATGCATTTCGTAATTATCTGTATTAATATCTTATTGTTGAATTTTATTCCTCACTTAGTGATACATTTAGTTTGAATATAAAAAAAATTATCAAATTTTCAAAATTACCAAAAGACAAATGCATTAATGAGTTATCTAAATCTCAAAAGTCATTTAACCGGAGTTGCTGCGTCATTGACTTTTGACACCTATCTCCTTTTATTTTTACATAATGTATATAATTTAATTTTACAGAAAATGAAAAACACTTGGTAAATGTGTTTATTTTGTTTTACAGAAAATGAAAAACGCTTGGTAAATGTGTTTATGAAAAGCACTTGGTAAATGTGTGTATTTTATTTTACAGAAAATGAAAAACACTTGGTAAATGTGTTTATTTTATTTTACAGAAAATGAAAAACACTTGGTAAATGTGTTTATTTTATTTTACAGAAAATGAAAAACACTTGGTAAATGTGTTTATTTTATTTTACAGAAAATGAAAAACACTTGGTAAATGTTTTTATACGACCGCAAAAATTGAAAATTTTTTGGTCGTATATTGGTATGACGTTGGCGTCGTCGTCGTCTGGCGTCGTCCGAAGACACATTGGTTTTCGCACTCTAACTTTAGTTTAAGTGAATGGATCTCCATGAAATTTTACCATAAGGTTCAATACCACGAAAGGAAGGTTGGGATTGATTTTGGGGGTTATGGTACCAACAGTTAAGGAATTAGGGGCCAAAAAGGGGCCAAAAATAAGCATTTTTGTAACTTCCAGACAATAACTTGTGTGTAAGTGTATGGATCTCTCTGACATTGTACCACAAGGTTCCATATCACAAAGGGAAGGCTGTAATTGATTTTGGGGGTAATTGCCTCAAAATTTTAGGAATTAGGGGCCAAAAAAGGGCCAAAAAACAAGCATTTTTCTAGTTTCATGACAATAACTTGTGTGTAAGTGTTTGGATATTTCTGAAATTGTACTACAAGGTTCCATATCACAAAGGGAAAGCTGGAATTGAGTTTGTGGGTAATTGCCCGAAACGTTTAGGAATAGGGGGCCAAAAAGGGGCCAAAAATAAGCATTTTTCTAGTTTCCAGACAATAACTTGTGTTCAAGTGTATGGATCTCTCTGAAATTGTACTGCAAGGTACCATACCACAAAGGGAAGGCTGGGATTGAGTTTGGGGGTGATGAATCATAAGGGGGTTCAAAAAATTTGGGGGGGGGGGATTTTTTTTTTTTTCTTTTTTTTCTTTTTTTCCTTTTTTTATTCTTTTAAAATTTTCCATTTTAAGTTGGTTATTTCTGTTTTATATTTAAAAGCAAATAATAATGATATGGTAGGAGATACACACCAAACAGGATGTGTAAATTTTTATATAATAAGTATTGTGCAATAGCAAGAAATTTTCAATTGCACAGTATTGCACAATAGCAAGAAATCTTCAATTGCACAGTATTGCGCAATAGCAAGAAATCTTCAATTGCACAGTATTGCGCAATAGCAAGAAATATCCAATAGCACAATATTGCGCAATAGCAAGAAATTGTCAATTGTACAGATTGCACAATAGCAAGAAATATTCAATTGCACAGTATTGTGCAAAAGAAGATACTTCGTATAAATTGCTTATTTCTTGATCAATTTCAGTGGAGTTTTATTCTTGAATTCTTGGGGTTCTTTAATATGCTGAATCTAACCAAGTATTAAGTTTTTGGATTGTGGGCCCCGTTTTTAAATTGGTCCACATTGAGGTCCAAAGGGTCCAAAATTTAACTTTGTTTGATTTCATCAAAAATTGAATTATTGGGGTTCTTTGATATGACGAATCTAACCGTGTATTTAGATTCTTAATTTTTGGTTCCGTTTTCAAATTGGTCTACATTAGGGTCCAAAGGGTCCAAAATTAAACTTAGTTTGATTTTAACAAAAATTGAATTTTTAGGGTTCTTTGATATGCTGAATCTAAACATGTATTTAGATTTTTGATTATGGGCCCAGTTTTCAAGTTGGTCCAAATCGGGGTCCAAAATTAAACTTTGTTTGATTTCAACAAAAATTGAATATATGGGGTTCTTTGATATGCTGAATCTAACCATGTATTTAGATTTTTGATTTTTGGGCCCCATTATCAACTTTGTCCACATTGAGGTCAAAAGGGTCCAAAATTAAACTTTGTTTGATTTCATCAAAAATTGAATTCTTGGGGTTCTTTGATATGCTGAATCTAACCATGTATTTAGATTTTTTATTTGTGGACCCGCTATCAAATTGGTTCATATTGAGGTCAAAAGGGTCCAAAATTAAACTTTGTTTGATTTCATCAAAAATTGAATTATTGGGTCTTTGATATGCCAAATCTAACCGTGTAATTAGATTTTTAATTTTGGGTCCCGTTTTTAAATTGGTCTACATTAAGGTCCAAAGGGTCCAAAATTAAACTTAGTTTGATTTTAACAAAAATTGAATTCTTGGGGTTCTTTGATATGCTGAATCTAAACATGTGTTTAGATTTTTGATTATGGGCCCAGTTTTCAAGTTGGTCCAAATTGGGGTCCAAAATTAAACTTTGTTTGATTTCAACAAAAATTGAATATATGGGGTTCTTTGATATGCTGAATCTTACCATGTATTTAGATTTTTTATTTGTGGGCCCGCTATCAAATTGGTTCATATTGAGGTCAAAAGGGTCCAAAATTAAACTTTGTTTGATTTCATCAAAAATTTAATTATTGGGGTTCTTTGATATACCAAATCTAACCGTGTATTTAGATTTTTAATTTTGGGTCCCGTTTTTTAAATTGGTCTACATTAAGGTCCAAAGGGTCCAAAATTAAACTTAGTTTGATTTTAACAAAAATTGAATTTTTGGGGTTCTTTGATATGCTGAATCTAAACATGTGTTTAGATTTTTGATTATGGGACCAGTTTTCAAGTTGGTCCAAGTTGGGGTCCAAAATTAAACTTTGTTTGATTTCAACAAAAATTGAATATATGGGGTTCTTTGATATGCTGAATCTAAACATGTATTTAGATTTTAGATTTTTGGCCCAGTTTTCAAGTTGGTCCAAATTGGGGTCCAAAATTAAACTTTGTTTGATTTCAACAAAAATTGAATATATGGGGTTCTTTGATATGCTGAATCTTACCATGTATTTAGATTTTTTATTTTGTGGGCCCGCTATCAAATTGGTTCATATTGAGGTCAAAAGGGTCCAAAATTAAACTTTGTTTGATTTCATCAAAAATTGAATTATTGGGGTTCTTTGATATGCCAAATCTAACCCTGTTTTTAGATTTTTAATTTTGGGTCCCGTTTTTTAAATTGGTCTACATTAAGGTCCAAAGGGTCCAAAATTAAACTTAGTTTGATTTTAACAAAAATTGAATTCTTGGGGTACTTTGATATGCTGAATCTAAACATGTGTTTAGATTTTTGATTATGGGACCAGTTTTCAAGTTTGTCCAAGTTGGGGTCCAAAATTAAACTTTGTTTGATTTCAACAAAAATTGAATATATGGGGTTCTTTGATATGCTGAATCTAACCATGTATTTTGATTTTGGGCATTGGATCATAATAGGTAAATTAAAAAAATTGAAGTTCTTAGACCACATTCTTTCTGTGTCAGAAACCTATGCTGTGTCAAATATTTAATCACAATCCAAATTCAGAGCTGTATCAAGCTTGAATGTTGTGTCCATACTTGCCCCAACTGTTCAGGGTTCGACCTCTGCGGTCGTATCAAGCTGCGCCCAGCGAAGCATTTTATTATTTTATTTTACAGAATATGACATCTTGGATCTTAACAAATGTAGCAGCCCTGTACTGGAGAGTGGAAGGTGATGCCAAGAAAGCCATTGATTGTTTACGTCTGTCTTTAACAACAGCACCCAGAAGTAAAAGGGTAAACATATTTAAATTGATATACAGATTTTGTTAAAGAAGGATTTGTTGGTAGATGTGTCTTTTCAACTGGTCAATAGCCAAGAACAATAACACCAGATCTGTTTATGAAATAATAAGTACTGTGAATAAGAAATGTGGTATAAATGTCACTAAGACGATGATGTAGTAAATCACCTACATCAATTGATAAGCTATAACTACCCAGGTGTCATGGGGTTAGAGCTTGATCATGGTTGCTAGATAAATATTTAAATTAGTAATTTTGTTTGTGTAAAACTTCATTCCATTAATGATTTTTATACGACCGCAAAAATTAAAAATTTTTTGGTCGTATATTGGTATCACGTTGGCGTCGTCGTCGTCAGCGTCGTCCGAAGACAGATGGTTTCCGGATAATAACTTTAGTATAAGTAAATAGAAATCAATAAAATATTAACACAAGGTTTATAACCACTAAAGGAAGGTTGGGATTGATTTTGGGGGTTATGGTCCCAACTGTTTAGGAATTAGGGGCCAAAAAAGGGGCCCAAATAAGCATTTTTGTAGTTTCCAGACAATAACTTGTGTTAAAGTGTATGAATCTCTCTTAAATTATACCACAAACTTCCATACAACAAAGGGATGGTTAGGATTGACTTTGGGGGTTATGGCTCAAACCATTTAGTAATTAGGGGCAAAAAAAGGGGAAAAACAAGGGTTTTTCTGGTTAAAGGACAATTGAGACAATTTAAAAGCAGTGTAAGGGAGGTAATCCAATTCAAATTAAAGAACACTGTTTGATTACCTCCCTTACACTGCTTGTAAATTATGTATTAAGCAATGATGATTGTCTTGAGGTGATTAGCTGTCAATTTATTTTCAGCAGTTACTATTAATTAATATTAATTTTAGCCATGACTATGTATGTCATTTTATATTTTAAAACTTTTATGATGTATTTAAATGGGTAATTTTGGTTGCAAACTGCATTAGAAATTTGAATTAAGATACTGACCATATCTTGAGGGAAAGAATTTTTTTGGGGAATAAGGGAAAGGGGGGAGGTGAAAAAAATTGGAGGGGGGGACAATTTTTCTCATTTCAGATTTCAGAAATTAAAAGAAAATTTCTTCAAATATTTTTTTTGGGGGGTTAATATTCAACAGCATAGTGTATTGCACAAAATCAAAAAACCGGGGTAAAATAAAAAAAATTTGGTAGGGGGTTGGGGGGTAAATTCGCAACAGCATAGTGTATTGCACAAAAGCAATAAATTGAATATAAATTCAAATCATATAACCAATTCTAAGTTCCTTGACTACAGTTATTCTGTGTCAGAATCCTATTATGTGTCAAATATTACAATCCAAATTCAGACCCAAGCGCGAATATTGTGTCCATTTTGGCCCAACTTTTCAGGGTTGGACATCTGCGGTTGTATCCAGCTGCGCTCAGCGAAGCAATTTATAAAACATTCACAAGAAACAGAAGGCCACAGACCACAATTAAATTCCTCTATTAGTTCTTTATAACGTTTTGTTTCATTAAAAAAAATGCACCATGCATTTTTGTCAAATCTTTTGTGTGTTTAATGTATAGTACTAGTCCAAAAATATATCCAAAATTCAGAAAGATTGAACCAATCACTCTTACAAATTTAGCCAATACACATCCATACCCCTATGGACAAGTCAAGAGATGTTCCAAAAACAGTAAATATCACCTTTTTGCACCTGGCCTAATCACTCTTTCCATATCGAAATCAGTTAAAATACAACATCCAAAAGTTTATTTCACCTCTCTTCTTTCATTTCCACCCCAAAAAAAACTAAGAAATGAGTGAGGAAGGGAAAGAAAAAAAATTAAGTAAAAATACACTCTAATTAAAAGGAACTATATTCGTGGACAACGAAAAACCGGGTCATTAATTGTGGTCTTGAGCCAGAAGTAAAATAATCTAGGTTGTTTTGAAGCTGAAACTTTATTTATAAAAATATTTGACACAAATGTGCCAAGGCTAGTAAAAAAAAACAGTTCATGTTTATGTTAGCAGAAAATATATATCTATTTTCAGGACACAGCGTTAATCAGTATTGCCAATATTTTTCATCGAGCTGGTTATATCAACGATGCTATTTTTACCACTAATTTAGCTCTAGATACTGCCAATAAAGTGGCTGTGAGCCACTTCACGATGGCTAATCTATATGCTGTAAAGGTAATTATCACCCAAAATCTTGACATGTAGTTTTTATAAGACCGCAAAAAAATTTTGCGGTCGTATATTGGGATGATGTTGGCGTCGTTGTCGTCCGAAGACACATGTGTTTTCGCACTCTAACTTTAGTTTAAGTGAATGGATCTCTATGAAATTTTACCATAAGGTTCAATACCACAAAAGGGAGGTGGGGATTGATTTTGGGGGTTATGGTACCAACAGTTAAGGAATTAGGGGCCAAAAATAAGCATTTTTGTAACTTCCAGACATAACTTGTGTGTTAGTGTATGGATCTCTCTGACATTGTACCACAAGGTTCCATATCACAAAGGGAATGCTGGGATTGATTTTGGGGGTAATTCCCTCCAAATTTTAGGAATTGGGGGCCAAAAAGGGGCAAAAAACAAGCATTTTTCTAGTTTCATGACAATAACTTGTGTGTAAGTGTATGGATCTTTCTGACATTGTACCACAAGGTTCCATATCACAAAGGGAATGCTGGGATTGATTTTGGGGGTAATTGCCTTCAAATTTTAGGAATTAGGGGCCAAAAAGGGGCAAAAAACAAGCATTTTTCTAGTTTCATGACAATAACTTGTGTGTAAGTGTATGAATCTTTCTTAAATTGTACTACAAGGTTCCATATTACAAAGGGAAAGCTGGAATTGAGTTTGGGGGTAATTGCCCAAAACGTTTAGGAATAAGGGGCCAAAAAGGGGTCAAAAATAAGCATTTTTCTAGTTTCCAGACAATTACTTGTGTTCAAGTGTATGGATCTCTCTGAAATTGTACTACGAGGTACCGTACCACAAAGGGAAGGCTGGGATTGATTTTGGGGGTAATTGCCTCAAAATTTTTGGAATTAGGGGCCATAAAGGGGCAAAAAAACAAGCATTTTTCTAGTTTCAGGACAATAACTTGTGTGTAAGTGTATTGATCTTTATGAAATTGTACTACAAGGTTCCATATCACAAAGGGAAAGCTGGGTTTGAGTTTGGGGTTAATTGCCCTAAACGTTTAGGAATTTGGGTCAAAAAAACAAGCATTTTTCTAGTTTCCAGACAATAACTTGTGTTCAAGTGTATGGATCTCTCTGAAATTGTACTTCAAGGTACCATACCACAAAGGGAAGGCTGGGATTGAGTTTGGGGGTGATGAATCATAAGAGGGTTCAAAAAATTTGGGGTGGGATTTTTTTTTCCTTTTTTTTCTTTAAAGTTTTCCATTTTAAATTGGTTATTTCTGATTTATATATAAAAGCAAATAATAATGATATGGTTTGAACAGGTAAATTAAAAATCTTTAAAAAAAAGTTCTTAGACCACATTCATTCTGTGTCAGAAACCTATGCTGTGTCAAATATTTAATTACAATCCAAATTCAGTGCTGTATCAAGCTTGAATGTTGTGTCCATACTTGCCCCAACTGTTCAGGGTTCGACCTCTGCGGTCGTATCAAGCTGCGCCCCATCGAAGCATTTTATTATTTTTTCATTTGGCCATATTCCTTTCTAAAATTCTCCTTGCAGCATCCCATCAGCTACCTGATGAAAATATTAATGAAAAAAAAAGGATACTAAAGGTGACAGCCTCACAAAAACACAAAAAGTTGAAGGATTGTGACTTTTTTGTCAAATTTCTTCGAAAGGAAAATGACACGGAAAACAACAGTCCTTTGTTAATTTAAGCCTTATATATTTAGGCCTTTATTTAGTAGGCTGCCCACTTGTTTGTGTATTTTATGGCATATATCTCTAATGTGTCGGGGGCGGATCCAGGATTTTAGATAGGGAGGGTGGGGCGCAAACTTAAATTTTTTATTGAGGTAAAATTATCGAAATATCCTTTTTAAGCTGAGGACAACCCATGCTTTGCAATTTTTTTTTTTGGGGGGGGGGAGGGTTGTTGCGCACACCAGCAACACCCCCGCCTGAATCCGCCCCTGTGTGTGTACCGGTATACAAAAAGAAAAGGTAGTAGAACCCTCCAACATTGTCATTTGTCGTTTTAAAAATGCATGCAGAAAACTGCTAGGTACAATAGTTAATTATATAAATTTCAATGCCATATTTAGAAAAAAGTCAGAGTATCAGATGAATTTTAGAATGTAAATTAAGACAAATAATGAGAAGTGCAAACTTTAATGAGACCAAAATCCTTGACAAAAATAACATACAGTATTCAAAAATAGACAGGTACAATTTGTTTTGCTCTGTATGGTCCAGAGTCTATAAAAGTATGAATTTCCATTGGAGAAGAACGGTAAACATATGGAAAGGGTTGGTTCCATGCTACATAACTTTATAGGTCACCTTAACCTTCCAAAAGTACATTTTGGAAGATATTCCAAATAATTGATCTGCAAAGGAGACTGTTCAGTTTTGATGTTTTTTAATTGAATAGAGATTCACTGGATTTAGATTTAGCAATATAATGCTAAACGTTTCACTGGATTTTGTGGAAATACAAAAAAATGAACATATACTTTTGTCAGTTCTCTTGCTTTTTCATTGGACTCACAAATATAGACACCAACAACAAACAAAATGCTTAACTGCAGTGTTTGAACCTATAACACCTCTTGTATAAATAAGTATACCCCTGCTTTAAAAAAGTAGGGTATACTGTTTTACCTCAGTCTGTCCGTCCATCCATCCATCTGTCCATCCATCCATCCATCCATCCATCCCATGAATAATTTTTCGTCACAGCTTTCTCAGGAACTACATCATAAGGATTTCTGAAATTTGGTTTCAGGGTTTAAGTCAGCTATACCGAGTGATGCGTTTTCAGATTCATCACTCAACAACTTCCTGTTTACCGAAATATTGGGGCGGGGGTATCATAAGTGAGCAGTAGCTCGAAGTTTCACTTGTTATATATATTTTATCACAGTGTTAGTACACATAATCGACGCATCTTGTATGTGGTACTTGCATTATATATAACTTTCTCATAAATATATGTCATAACTGAGTACTTTGAAAGTTTTATTTGTGCCATCTTTTGAGCTTGATATTTTAATGAATGTTTTTATAAATTGAAAGATATTCAGTCCAAAACTTTGAATAGACTTTTAATTAAGAAATTGGTAATTGCAAAAAATAGTGAAGGCAAATCACAACTATGAATGTGAGTTTTTATAAATACCAATCTGTTATTGCCACATTTTTAATGTGAGGTTTTATAAATACCAATCTGTTATTGCCACATTTTTAATGTGAGGTTTTATAAATACCAATCTGTTATTGCCACATTTTTAGCATTAATAAAAACAGCACAAGAATTTCTGATTTTATAGTATATCAATTCTTTTAACAAAAAATTCCTAAGATTTTGTAATACCTCATTTGTAGGCCAATTATCAGTCCGATAAAGCACACCCTCTTTTATTCAGGTTTATCTTAATATTAAGGGCATTCAATAAAGGTTTGATCCCATGGTGATTTTTGACAAAAATTTGAATACAAGCTATTTTTCGCCTAGTCAATTCAAATATGTAATAAAAAGATATATACCTTATGTGCTACTCTTAGAGGATAAATGGCCCGAGAACACAGTTATTTCGTAGTGCATTTCTTTTAGACAATAAATTCAAATTAAAAAATGCGCACCTGCTCTATCTCAAAAAGATTTTTACAGTGTACATGATTGGGACAAATAATATCAAAATTATAGAAAAGTCTACCAGCTCTAACTCAAAATATTGACAATTCTATGTTAAGAGGGTCTAAAATTCAGTTTGACAGCTTCAGACATACTAGTTTTTGACCTTTTTGAACTGGACCAAATCACTACTTAACATAAAGATTCAGCACCCAAACTTTTTTAACTTGTAATTTCATCCCTTTACTTAATATTTCATACATAAAATATAAAGAAATAAATTTGGAAGTTATACACTGTCCACACTAGGGACTATATTTGGAGACAACGAAAATCTAAGGACAATAACTGTGTCCTCGGACCAAATGGGGTCGAAATTTAGACATTTACTAAAAATTTTGGATTCTTGGACATTTCTTTCCTTGGGAGACACATACATGACTTTTATGTAAAAATAGTTGGAATATCTTCTTGGCATAAGTTTGCTCTAAATTTGTGTAACTGTTCTTTGGCTCCATGTACTCGTTTTCAAGCTTATGGTTAAAATCAGTTGAAAAATGCATCTTTTCCCATTATGTCACAATTTGACGTCATGAAAAATAACATTTTACTTTAGCAATGTCATTAACTCCCTTATAGCTGTATCGTATGCCCTTAAACTATAGATACTTGTGTATAATATGTATATGTATTTGTTTTCTTTTTGAGGCTCAATGGGATAAAGCAACCATGTTTTATGAATCAACATTGGGATTACAGTCAACATTTGAACCTGCAAAGCAGAGGCTTAAAGCCATCAAATGTAAAATTGTGATGCAGAAACCTGTTGCTATGCCTACAGACTAATTTTATTTTGCTATATACTCATCTTTAAGCTTATTGTGATATTTTTAAACATGACAATTGCGAAATATTGATATGGCCGATGTTGTGGCCATGTTAGGGTAAATACCTGCCATCTTTGATGTCTTTCATGAATTTACCTTTTTTCTCTAAAAAGAAATATCTTTTTACACTTTATTGACATATAACAGAGAAAAATGGGGTCATAATTGGAAATTCCATAAAAATCCAGTAGTCCTTTATTGCTGTATTCAGAAATTCTGCTCACCAGACTGTAAGCTAGATTTGGAAAATTGCTAACAAACTTTTGGGTGGGATATATTATATTATTACCTTTAAAAAATTGTATTAGGCTACCAATCACTGCCATCGAAAATGTCTGCCACCAAAATCATAGTTTATCAATACCAACTACCTGGAGCCTCTCCTTCCAGTAATTGCAAGATCGATGCAAACATTTTTTTTTCCCTTTGTGTAGAATATCACCTGTCTCCATTCTATACTGATTTTGAAACAAATATTTCTTTTGATTTATTTTTTTTTATTTGGCTAATGCAGTTCCAGAGATAAAATATATATTTTTTTAAATCACAGAGAATGAAAGTTGTAAGAAATGACATTGAAAAAACAACATATCTGAAAGAAAAGATAGTAATTTAAGTTTTGTAATTTAGATTTGGTTTTGGTTTTAAAAATAGTTTTTATTTCTCAAATTTATCACGAAGGATATTATAGAACACATCTTCATAATCAGTATAACTAGCACCAATTTTGAATTGTTATTTGCCGCTCACTTTTATATACATATATATTGCACTTAATGTCTTATCAATAATGAAAAAAGTTCAGTATTGTCTATAAGTTCATAGATTTGTTGAAACAAAAGAGATGTATGCAAGGAATGTGTGTATGTGTCAACTCTCCATATATCAGAGGGAAAAATTAATTGTTTTTTTCTTAACTGGAAATATCATTCAAAAGACCAGTCCCTTGACAGGAAGTACAAAATGTTCTCAGAAGACCAGTCTCTTAAGAGGAAGTACAAAATGTTCTCAAAAGACCAGTCTCTTAACAGGAAGTATAAAATGTTCTCAGAAGACCAGTCTCTTAACAGGAAGTACAAAATGTTCTCAGAAGACCAGTCTCTTAACAGGAGGTACAAAATGTTCTCAGAAGACCAGTCTCTTAACAGGAAGTACACAATGTTCTCAGAAGACCAGTCTCTTAACAAGCAAGAACAATTTTTAGTTTTGGAAAACAAAACTTAATTTTCTTGATCTCTCTTTCAGTTCTAATTCACTGTAAGCACTTATAAAGTAGAAAAGATAGGATATGGGGGTATTTGACTGTTTTTTAACATTCGACAAATCATTGTTTTGGTATTTTGTTTAGATGCCCTAGTTCCCTTAAATACAGGATCCTTTAGCATAGTTATTTTTTGACAATTTAGTTTATGTGATTGTTGCCAAGATGAATATGTGACAATGAGTTGTTTAACTGCTGATAAATATGTAAGAAAGAAAAGTATATAGTAATATCTAAAAAAATATTCTGCAGCTTATTTCTTACTAAAAGGTTTCCTTAAGATGGAGACTAAAGTTGATACAAATGAATGTGTGAATGATTAATGTTGCATTGAAATAGTGTAAAAAATGTGAATTTGTTTGTTTTGGATCAGGGTTAATTAAAGAACACACATATTAAAGATTTAGCATTTGCATTGTTCCCAGAATTAGTGCTTTGTTTAGAATGTGTTCAGAAAGAAACATATATTATTTTTTGTCTGATGGCAAGAGGGTGAAAGGAGAATTCAGGAGAATTATGTTATTAATAGATTTTTTTCAGGATAATTGAAATCAATGTTATGAGATTATTCATAATCAGAGAATTCCATACCATCCCTTATTTATTTTTTTTTAATTTTGTATAATTGTCTGTTTTATTAAAGAATATGAAATTCCTTTTCTTTGTTTTGTTGTTCTTTTATATATTTTGATGACAGAAAAAATCTGTAACTGCTGACACATCATAAGATCAGGCAAAATGTTTTCAAGTTTTATAAAATTTTATAGGTCGAATAATTCTGAGACCTTCTACAAACGATCCTCATTTCATTTTTGTGGGTTGGAAAGCATCACAGTATTGACTGCACATAGTATCAATGAAACTCTGGTAAATTTTATCCTCACCTCGGGTAAACTTGACCATAATGATTAATAGAATGATCTTATCAATTTATCATCACGTGATTCTGAACGAAATATATGGTGCAAAAAGCCAGCAATGATTCTTATTGATCAATTCCAAAGGTCTCCCAATGAACTACACGGTGTGACCGGCTTTCCACATTTTTGTCGAGCCTGTGACATTTATGTCGCAAAAGCGAGACATAGTGATCCTAGACTCCGGTGGAGGCATCAGCCGCATCAACATTAAGGTTCAGTCTGTGATTAAAGTTTTTAGCTCACCTGGCCAAAAAGGGCCAAGTGAGCTTTTCTCATCACTTGGTGTCCGTCATCTGTCGTTGTCTGTCGTCGTCCGTTAACTTTTACAAAAAATCTTCTCCTCTGAAACTACTTGGCCTAAATCATCCTTAGGGTATCTTAGTTCAAAAAAAGTATCCCATGACCCTGCCCATCAACCAAGTTGGCCGCCATGGCTAAAAATAGAACATGGGGGTAAAATGCAGTTTTTGGCTTATATCTCTGATACTAAAGCATTTAGAGCATATTTGACATTGGGTAAAACTGTTCATCAGGTCAAGATCTATCTGCCCTGAAATTTTCAGACGCACCAGACAACCCGTTGTTGAGTTGCTGCCCCTGAATTGGTAATTTTAAGGAAATTTTGCAGTATTTGGTTATTATCTTGAATATTATAATAGATAGAGATAAACTGTAAACAGCAAAATTGTTCAGCAAGGTAAGATCTATAAATAAGTCAAATCTTACCAAAATTGTCAATTGACCCCATAAAGAGTCATTGCCCTTTAAAGTTAATTTTTCACAATTTTTAGTAAATTTTTGTAATCTTTTACAAAAATCTTCTCCTCTGAAACTACTGGGCCAAATTTAACCAAACTTGGCCTAAATCATTCTTAGGGTATCTTGTTTAAAAAATGTATCCGATGACCCCGCCCATCAATCAAGATGGCCACCATGGCTAAAAATAGAACATGGGGGTAAAATGCAGATTTTGGCTTATATCTCTTAAACTAAAGCATTTAGAGCAAATCTGACAAGAGGTAAACAATGTTCATCAGGTTAAGATCTATCAGCCCTGAAATTTTCAGACAAATCAGACAACCTGTTGGTGGTGTCTTGCCCCTGAATTGGTAATTTTAAGGAAATTGTGCAGTTTTTTGGTTATCTTGTATATTATAATAGATAGAGATAAACTAAACAGCAAAATTGTTCAGCAAAGTAAGATCTACAAATAAATCAACATGACCAAAATTGTCAATAGACCCCATAAGGAGTTATAGCCCTTTAAAGTCAATTTTTCACAATTTTTTGTAAATTTTTGTGATCTTTTACAAAAATCTTCTCCTCTGAAACTACTAAGACAAAATCATTCTTAGGGTATCTATTTTTAAAAATGTGTCTGATGACCCCACCTGCGGACATGGCTAAAAATAGAACATAGAGGTAAAATGCAAGTTAGAGAAAAATCTGACAGGGCAAAAATTTTCAAACTGTTGAGCTCTACAAACTGTCTATTTACTTCAAAATAGTCAGACAACTTCTTATAGGAGTTATTGCCCTTAAACGACAAATTTTACCATTTTGTTTACCATTTTTTTCATTTTTGCCTATTTTCTTGAAAACTATAACAGATACAGAGAAATATTAAATTGCAAAAATGATCAGCAAGACAAGTTTTACAAATAAGTTACATTGTCGAAATCGTCAGCCTACTCCTTATGAGAGTTATTGCCCTTTGATAATGATTTTTACAATATTTTGCATTTTTGCCTTATTCCTTAAAAATTATAATAGATAGATAGAAACTTAAATAGGCAGCACGACAAGATCTACAATTAAGACAATATAGAGGAAATCGTCCGATCTACTAACAAGTCATATTTTGCTGATAAAGGTAGTAGGCTGTTATAGGAATTTTTTTACCGCCTTTTGTGTTTTGAGCAAAAACTAAAGAAGATAGAGAGAAACTAAAAAGATTAAATGATCAGCAATACAAGATCAACAAAACAAGAGATTTTTCTTATGAAATCTATTCTTGTCTTGTTGGAGAGTGTCCTTTGTTGAATATGCACATAGACCAAGGTGAGCGACACAGGCTCTTTAGAGCCTCTAGTTTTAGACATCAATAACTTTGTCAAACCTTCATGGAATTTTAAGAATTTGGATAGAATCTTGTTTATGACCAAAATACAGTATCCAGAGCAAAATTTTGAAAATTTATTTTCATTTTTCCGTATTTTTATGTTAAATGGACTAAGTTTTTTTTACAATTAACAAGTAGATACAGTCTGAGGTTAAAGTATTTCAGTCATCAATAACTTTGTCAAACCTTCATGGAATATTCGGAAATTTGGACAGTAGCTTAGTTTTGACCAAAATACAGTTTTCAGAGGCAAATGTTGAAAATATTTATTTTCATTTTTTCGTAATTAACTGATAAACGGACTTATTTTTTTTTAACATAGATACAGTCTAGGGTTAAAGTTTGTTACACATCATTTATCAAACATTCATAGAATGTTATGAAACTTTGGCAGACATTTTTTTATGATGAAGAGATAATGTCTGAAGCAAACTTTTAAAAATATATCATTTCCAGTATTTTTCTGATAGACTTAGTTATTTTTACAGTTAACAGATAGTCTGGAATTAAACTTTATTGACATGATAAATTTATAAACCTTCATGGATTGTTAAAAAAAATTTGACAGAAGCTTATCTTCAAGACTGAAATAGCATCTAAATTTAAAGTCTGATTTTTATTTAAATTCTGTATTTTAACTTACTGATAAATGGACTCACTATTTTTAAAAGTCAACATTACACTTTTACACTGACAGCAGCAATCATAGGCGAAACACAGTTTTCAACGTAACCCATTACTATTTTTTTTTGTGACTGCGTATTATGTCTCACACCATACTATCTCCTTAACGGTAATTTCATATCATCCAGTTTTATTTATCGCCTAGGTATTGATTGACTTTTAATATTCCTTTTGTTAGTTTTGTTTCGATTTATTGTCTTGTGGATTTGTCATCAACGGCAAAAGCAGGATTAGTAACTGCTGACTTCGTCTGTCATTGCATCTGTCCATCTGAAAGACCTTGAGTAGAAAACTTTCTATGAAGGGGAATGATTTAATATTTGGTCTGTAGCTTAATAATGTCAAGATGTAGAATGTAAGCTATATTGAAATCTTCCGTGCAGCTACTTTGTATTTGCCGATAGATTGACAATTTACGATACTCATTGTACAAGGTGAATTTCATAGTTTTTAAACAAAATTCATCAGGTATGCTTCAGAACACAGCGAAGCAGGGTCAGGCCTGGCATTTGTCTTGTTTTTACATGTTCTTTCATGTCTTTGTCCACTCACTTAATCAATTGTTTCCTGTACGATATAAAAAATTGAAAACAACACGTTTAATAATTTCATGCGTCCGATGCGTTTTTCTGGATTTACCTTCATCAGGAACGCGCAAAGCCAAACATTTGAAATCCGAGGATGTATAAGTACCGAAACAGTTGAAGAGCTATATGACAAAAATACCAAAAAAAAAAAAGCCAAATTCATCTAAGGTCAACTTTGCTTGAGGGAGTTGAAGGATATGATATCACGACCTAAAATACATTTGATCAATTATTTTGCCTTGAGCTGGGCTGTATGTTTATGTAAATATTTCATAGTATATCAGTCACAGTTTAAAATGAAAAGGTACAAAGGAAGTTACACATAAGTCTACTTAAAAAAATAAATCCGCATTATTTGTGTACAAATTGCTGCGGTAAAAAAATATTTTTATAGAATTTTTGTACAAGTTGTCAGTATTTTGTTAACCTTGTGACAATTGGATAGGACAAGAACAGTTCCTTTGGATTAGCCTATCAATCATATTTTCATGAATACGTTACTAGCTGTAAACATAGCAATGAGAACACGGGAATATATCTTGTGGAAAGATAAACTAGTAGCAGTGAAAAAATGAAAATACAATCTTAACCAATCAAGTGTGTGGAGGTAGAGCTAGGGTTGGGACAAAACTTTAAAAATTTCTAGTGCGTTAATCTGTCATATATTATCATAACATGAAATTTACAGATTAATCGAATTGTTTTTCACTTGAACACTTAGAAGCGTTGACTAGACTGATTTTAAACACAAAAAAATAAGACTGATTTAATGACTTACGAGCCGAATAATGTCTTATGAACACTGGAATGATTCTGTTCACAATAATATAATTTCGAAAGCGACGTTATTAGATACTTTAATAATTTGATTTATGCACATAAGTCTGTTAATCATGAAAATGAAGTAATCAAAAATTAACAATGGCCAGACAACAAATACAAATTCAACCTCAAGCCATATATATAACAAAAGTAAAATTGCCAGATTTATTAAATTACATTTGAAAAAAATACAAAGCTTAATACAAACTGAAAGTGTCATCGTCTCCATTCGTAGCAAGCAAGACAATAAAATGAATTAACGAAAGTTATATATGTCTGATGTACCCTCTATAAAGAGATCGTACATAGCACACACAAAAAAAAACAAAAAAAACCCCAATAAATTTGTTCTAATAACTTAGAAAAACATGTAAAATCGAAAAGACATTGAACGCTCTTTAGAGTACATTTCAATCAATATGTACTCCAAATAAACAAGCAGCAATACTTGGTAATAACAAGTTTATTAAAAAAGAAAACATAATGTTGACATTGACAATTCTTCATCTGAAGGCATATATC